TTTGACATTTGTGTGTAAAATGCAACAAAAATCACCGTTCAATAAAACCACTTCAAATGTGGTATTGTGAGTTAGATGGCTAAATGGATAAAAGACAACAAAAGAACTGACCATAATACCCTGATCTTCAATATGTTATAATGCCGTCATGCCTCAATCATCAAACTTCAAATTTCAGTCACGGCCCCACGTTTGGTTCAAAAAATTTAAAAGATTATTTTTGTCATTTCAACTATTTTTTCCATCAATATTTTACATTTAATCAAACATGGACTCTGAAAATTTAAATAAATTTTTCTGGTAATATTTTGGTCAAACAAAAAAACTTTTTTTTTTTTGGTACATTGCCAGGAGGTATCCTCATTCAACCTTCTCCGGGCACCATGCCCTCGGGGTACGGCCCGTTTGGGCTAGCCCCTCATTGTAACAGTGGGTACACTAAGCTTCGCAACCGGAGAAAGGACGAGACTAATCCCCCAACCGAAGATTCCCCCAACCGAAGATTTTTGGCTTATCCTCTGGCCCCCAAAGATTTTCCAAGAAATTGCTTGAAGCAGGGTTTGATCCCTGCACCAAACAATCCCTTGGGAGCTCAGCTGCCAACTGAGCTACCATTGGGAGTTAAAAACTTTTTTTTTTAACTTTTCTATATAACTTACTTCCCTATCATATTCTTAGTAATTGAGTTTCCCTGATAAAAAAAAAATTTCTCCTCTATCAAACGTCCCCTTTAGTCTTTTTATATATTATGATCAGGAGTGAATCTTTCATGTTAAAAATCAACATCCTCTGGTCATACATGTGATTTTTTTTTCTTATCTTTCTTTTCTTATGCATTAATGATTTTTTTATTTACATGTGAATTTTAATTTTAATTACTTTTCAATTATAATATATTTAACATTAATAAAGAGAAAATTAGATACAAAAACTTCACATCATTCTTTCATGTGAATTTTTGACATGAGTAAATTCCTAAATACTTTTCTATATATTATGATTTGAAATAAAGGCAATTTTGCTAGAGAGATATAATAAAAAATTATTAATGTGATTTTTTACTTAATAACTTAAGTTTTTGGATTGAATTAATTATTTTATATGGTATCAGAGCATATGTGATCAAGCAGTCACAAGTTCAATCTTCACCACCTCATTTTATTAATGAATAATTAAAAATTATAAAATTTCTTAAGATAGGTAGAACATGTATTTTGTTCATCCTTCAAATCCAATAATCTCTTTTATGAGAACTGAAAAGATATGTTAAAGAAATATAATATAAAATTATTAATATGACATTTACCTAATAGTTTAAAGTTTTAAAATTTTTGGTTGAATTTGTCTATGATGCACCGACATTTCAAAATACTTGATGTGTCATATTCGATACTTTCCGACACTTCGACACTTCCCTACACTCCAACACGCGTTGCAAAGACTTAAAAAAGAGTTTGAAGGTTGTGTGCGTTGTGTTTTTAATTTCAACTTAGATTTATTGGATTACGATTACCATTTTATTGAGTTTAATATAAATATTTGGGATATTTTATGTTTCTTTGCAAAATTGATGGGTATTATAAATTTAACTTTATTTTTTTGTTAAATTATTAAATATTAAATATAATATACATTATATAAATTAAAAATATTATTAAATATCAAAATGTGTTCTAACGTATCAAAATTTAACATTTTTTAAAATTAATATATCGAAGTGTCATGTCGTGTCGTGTTATATCTTGAGTTGATGTCCGTGCAATATAAGAATTTGTTATTTTACATATTTATATAAAACTTTTCGCATAATTCCATCATTAGAATATTATTAACAAGCTCATAATTTGCCCGAGTGATACTTACAAAACATGCTTAGGGAATTGTGCACTACTCGAGCCAAGAGTTTAAAAGAAGGGTTTTATTAGTGTTATGTAACATAATGTAAGTGTTGTTTCCAACTCTCACATCAAAAAGGAGAGAGAAAGTGGAATGATGAAAGAGAAAGAAAAATATGTGGATCCCACCTCTTCAATGTGTGTGTAGGAAATTAAAGTTATATTATGTTAAATGATAAACATAAAACCCTTAAAACAACTAATTCGTAATTTGGTGGCAAAAGGCAATACAGAATAAGAATAAACAGGGGGGCATGCTTATAATGATTAATATTGGTACAGAGTTAGAGGATCAGGATATATCTTCGATTTAGTAACAAATTAAGAACAACTCTATCATCAAGATTAGCAATTCTTAAAAACTAATTTTATGCCTTCCTCTAAATTACTCAGACATTCGATCACATTGGTTTATCGGTTTATCCTTATATCTACTATAACTTGTGGATTTGTTGATCCCCTTTTAATTCCAGTTTTCTAACATTCAAATATTGCCTGCGGTGTGTGTGTGTGTTGAAGATACGGAAACCGTTACAAATGTTATTATTCTTTGTCATTTATAGAAGAAAGGGAACCAATTCAAAATAGATCAAAAAGCTGCTGATCAACCACCTTAGTACAATGATATTATTATTATTATTTTCTTTTTTAAATAGTTGATTATTGTTCGTTACCTTTGGAGTTGAATTAGTTTTGATGAAGTCATATACCTACTCTTTTACTTGTCTTCAATGATATTACTTATTTTTAATTTCAATGAAATAAAGTATCATTTATTAGCATAGAATAATCAATGGATACATAACTAACAAAGATTGTAGCTAGCTCATACATTTGTTTACATTCAACTGTGATCGGTGACACTCATAAACGTAAATAAGTAATTCATATATCAAAATATGGCTCCAACGAGCAACTGCTTTTAATATAGAGTAAACACCTTTTTTAGTCCCTGTCAATATCTACAAAGTCCTTTTTAGTCCCTAGCAATAAAAAAGGACCAAATTGGTCCATGAAATTACAAAAAAAGGGGTCATGTTAGTCCTTATGTCAACTCCCAAATATGTAGAGTGACCCTTTTCTTGTACTTTCAGGGACCAATTTGGTCTTTTTTTATTACCAGGGACTGAAAATGACTTCGTAGATATTGCCAGAGACTAAAAAGGGGGTTTACTCTTTAATATATATTAGAAGTGAAAATAATTAGATAAAAAAATGAAGGGAAAAATACTTTCTGCAGTAGATGGAGAAGTATTCTTCTGATACCACAGAGTCACTTACTCAAGTAAATTTTTAATTATTTTTTATAAAAAAATATGGTGGAACAAAGCTTCTTGTTGCATGAGAGACTTTAAGCCCAAAAATGAATTATGTGGTGCAGTCTGCGATTGAGGATGAAGTTTCTCACATTATCATCACACTTGGACATTTAAAAACTAAAATTGGTGCTGTTTGAGTTACGAGTTAACTGGTGGCTTTACTTATCATATTTTCTTTGTTAACTTTGAGTTCAATTTATTTATTTATTTTGGTAAACCGAGTTCATTTTATTTAAAGTGGTAGTCTACACAAGTTTATATATAAAAAATGTATTTAAAATGTTTTTTATTTATATTTAAACAAAAAATATTATTTAAAAAAGTTTTTTTTGTTTATATAAAAAAAATTAAAAGTCAACTATGTACTTTAATAAACAAAGGAGTGCTACGTACTTAGAGCTGTATGACACATTGACACATACAATATATACAGAAAGCAAACAGGAGTGAAGAAGGGTGAGAGAGAAAATAAAATAAAAATGAATGAAAAAGGTGAATGAAATATACTTGTTTATTTTACCTGGGCTTAGTTAGGTAGTGAATTTATCCACCTCAGATATATAACTTAGTGACTACTTTTTTTTCTATATTTTTTTTCACGTAATTCGTTATTCTCAATAGGGAACTAGATGCACCAAAAAGATATCACATCAACAAATAAAAATTGCTTCTGCTATAACAAATTTGTACGGGTGTCATTCCAAAATTTTTTAATATTCATATGAAAGTTGGATAAATTTATTTTGAAAAACATGGCATAAGAGTCACGGTTGGGTTGTGTGTGTGTGTGTTTGGGCGGGCAGAAAAAGAGAACGTGTAAGCTCACTAAGCGCGAAGAGTGCGTGGAGCAAAAGCTACCAAAAGCCGTGAATGTAAGTAAAAGTGGCAAATAAAGAGACAAAGAAAGAGAGAAAAAGAGCGTGCAATTTTGGATAAGGGCGTCATTAATTCATCACTCACGTCCCAACACTCCCATTCCACCAACTTTATTCACTCCTCTCTCTCTCTCTGCAATTTTACATTTTTTACATAAAATAAATAAACGCTCAAGCACTTATAATTGAATTTAAAATATTAAAAAAAAATATAAATTTACTATATTTTACATCTAATATTTTAAAATTTTCTTTTATGTTTAATCACTTATTTGTTTTCTCGTCAATCTTAATTAGTTATTAAACATTAATAATAATTTTATAATTAAAACTTTCAAACTAGAAATGATACTACTATAATACTTTATATAGTTGCTTCCAAAAAAAATAAATAATACTTTATATAATTTATTCAGATTATAACAAATAAAATTATCTCCTAAAAATATATAAAGATATGTAAGTTTTATGTGGAATCATGTGAGGATATTAAAAAAGAGAAAATATAAATCTCATACATTTTTAAACATGCTGAGAAAATAAAAATGATATTATAAAAAAAAAGAATGAGTCATTTTAAATGACACACATTACATTATTTTACTCTAACAAAAGATGAGACTGACATCTTTAAAACTTTTTTCTCTCACTCTCTTTTTTATTATTTTTCTTTTTTCTCACTTAAAATAATGACATAATTTTGTGTCCTTTAAAATGATACATACTCTTTCCAATTATAAAACCCTTTATTATTAAGTATTTAATTTGTAAATAAATAACAATATATTGTTCATAATGGAAGAAGGGCGATGTTGTTGGTCGTACACGTGTCCTGCATCATCACCGTCTTGGCTTTCAAGAACAACATAGAAGCAACACGAAGCACCCTGTCTTTCTCTCTTTCTCTCCTCATTCTTCAGTGTCTAACAGATAGAGAGAGAAAGTAGAGCGAGAAAAATATAGCCCCCGGGGAACTGCGCTTCATTCACCTAACCATTTTCTCTCTTCTTCTTCAATTGAAAAAGCTTTTTTTTTTTTTTTTTTCTGGGTGTGATCGTTAGAGGGAGAGAGATGTACGTAGCTTCCATGCGTAAGTCTTTCAAGGACTCCTTGAAAGTCCTTGAAGCTGATATCCAGCACGCCAATACCCTGTGAGTTTTCTCCTTCAAATTTTCTCCTCTCACTTTTTAATGGGTTTTGTTTTTTCTTTGTTTTGACTTTGATGATCCTTCCTCTGATAAATTTCCTTCTTTTTTTTTTTGAATGTGAGGGTGATCACTGTTCCTACAAGGTTGGTCGCCCGTCATGGCTGTCACTCTTAGAAAAAAATCTATTTTTTTTTCTTCGGGGGAAAATGGTTGATGATTTTGTAGTGAGGTTCTTCTGGGTATGATGATTTTCTGGTTTTTAGCCCATGAATTTTCTTTTCATGTATTTGCTTTTCCTTTTGGTCAGTGTTCATCTTTGAGTTTTCCTTCATAAACAAATTTTCTGATAAATCATGGTTAAAGTGATTCTCAATGCTTATTATCCTTCTCTCTACCTAACTCTCTGGTTTGGGAAAGTTTATATTTGGTGTAACATTGTCAGATCGTTTACCGGGGTTGAATTCCCGAGTAATTTGGCGGGTATGGAATATTGCATACAATGATGTTTTTAATATCAAATTGTTGCTTCTTAGTCTCTGAATATGGTTGCGTTATCTATCTTTTCCTGCTACAGCGACAAGCTACTTAGCTGTGGTTTTGTTACTCAATTCATCAGAGATATTTAATTTTTGTGATGTGCCTTTGGTGTAATTTCTTTAGAGAAGCAAGCTACAGTCCAATGTTCTAAACAGTGTCCTTTTGTAAATATTGCAATGATATTTCTTCTGAGGGGAGACCCTTTTTCCTTTTTTCTTGCCATTCTTGTTAATTATATCAAATAATCAATATACTAGTTATGGGGCTTGCCATTCATCATGCAATTCAAATGTGTAGGGCGTCAGATTTTTCGAGGGAGTATGATGGGGCATGCCTTCAGATGAGAATGTCATACAGTCCAGCCGCACACTTGTTCCTATTTCTAGTGCAATGGACAGATTGTCATCTTGCTGGAGCCCTTGGACTGTTAAGAGTCCTAATTTATAAGGTAAGGTGTTTTGATTTTTGGATGTGCACATTGAAATGAGGAACTTGAACAAGATGAAGATTTTGCCTCATGCTGTAGGTGTATGTGGATGGGACAACCACCATGACTACCCATGAAAGAAAAGCAAGTATTAGAGAATTCTATGGTATATCTTGCTTTGTGTTTTAATTTAAATATTAGTTAGTTTGCATTTTTGTTTTTGTTAGTAGCTGACATGTTGAGTTTCTGCTTTGAGCAGGGGTAATTTACCCCTCTTTATTGCAACTTCAAAAAGGCGTTACTGATAATGAGGATAAAAGGCAAAAGGCTGTGTGCATGGAGAGGTATCGTAGAAGAGATGATGAGGAGTATAGGCAATCTTCTGACATAGACTTTGAAAGAGATGATGAATGTGGAATATGCTTGGAGATGAATAGTAAGATTGTGTTGCCCAACTGCAATCATGCCATGTGCCTGAAATGTTACCGAGAATGGTACTTCCCCACACACACACTCTCTTATCTCTTCCTATTCTTTTATGACCATGACTTATTGTATCAAGAAGCAAGATGTCGCGGGATTGTTTTGACTTGTTTCTACTGCATGTTTGATTCTCTCTGTTTCTTTAAAATTCAACTTTATGTCTATTGCTTTTGATTGGTTTTCGCAGATTTCATGTATTATAGATATAGTTACTACTAAATGACTACATTGTTTCAGTAATATTAAAATGTAATCCATTGAGACTGCTTGGGTTTTTGTAGGTTGTGGGTTTTTTCGGTTTGTTTGGGTCATAATTGTTTATAACCTTGTAAAGTAAATGTCTTTTGCCTTGACAGAGGTTGTAAGTAGTGGAAATTATGAGTCTGACTATAGGTGAACTGGTTTTAGAATCCTGTGCTTGATTGCAAGTGATTTCACCACAGGCACCTTGCATATAAAAGGTATGGTTATCACTTTTTGTTTTTGCTGCTTGAATGTGAATATTCAATAAAATGAAACAAAAGCAGTATTGTTCAACAATCTAGCCATATGATCATGCTGGTTATCACATTCCATACTCTTAACTTACAGATGTTTTGATGACACAATCTAGCCATGATAATTGCCATGTTATGAAGTCTATTGTTCTTATATGTGAGGAAGATTCAAGCATAAAGGGTCTCTGTAAGTTGAGAAATGAAATAGGTTTTAATTTGTGTACTATTACTTTACAGCTGTAGTACTAAAAAGAAAATTGGTATTGCTATTTTCTTGTGGTGTTGTAATGGGTTTATTTGTAGTTTAATGCTTTAATTGGAAGCAAGTGAGAATGGAAGTATTAGTCTATGAAGCCACACTGTTATCCATTGGTCGATTGTGAACTGTCTAATTGGGATGACTAGTGTGGCATTTAGTTTTCTATTGATGGAAGAAAAAGGCATGTTGTCCCCCATCCCGGTCCTCTCTTTTTCTTCCCTCCCCCCTCTGTGTCTATTCATTACTTCACTTGAATCATACATAATCTCCGGTTTCTTGATGAACCAAAAGCCTGTGCCCATGTGTCTCTGAACTAATCTGCCAATCAGAGTAGTACTTACAGATGACCTACCTATGAAGGACCAACAAAATTTGAACCCAAGTCCTTTTGGTTGACACGGTTTGATCTACCAGTTGAGTCAACCCATATAGGCATCTGATAGTTAGTTTGAATTATGAGTTCTTATTTTTTATTTTTTGGCACCTTATGAAAGGGAGTATTGGCACAACTATGAAGTCATGTTTCCATGTGACCTAGAAGTCACAGGTTGGAGTTGTGGAATTAGCCTCTTGCAAAATCAAGATAAGACTGCCTACTATGGCTGTCTACTATAACCCCACATAGTGAGTGTTCCCCTTTCTTGGCCTCCATGGATAGTGAGAGTTTTATAGCACCAAGTTGCCCTTTTACTGTCCTTTATTATCCCAGTATATCAAACTTTAGGTGCTGCCTCATACCTTCCGGCATGCACTCCAAGTGTTTTCTTGGTTTAGTTGAAGGATTTAAGTGATTTGATATGTTTTGCAGGCGAACGATATCACAGTCATGCCCATTTTGCCGTGACAGTCTGAAGAGAGTGAAGTCATGTGATCTATGGGTATTGACTGATAGGAGGGATGTGGTAGATATGACAACAGTGACAAGGGAGAATCTTAGAAGGCTTTTCATGTACATAGATAAGTTGCCTTTGATTGTTCCAGAATCCCTTTTTGATACTTATGACTCTCACATAAGGTAAGTGATTGCAACAGACAGATTTTAATGTATGCTGTTGTCTTGGATGGATAGTTATTCCCTTTCAATTCAAGTTTAGTTTATGTATAGAATTGCAAGTGCTTGCTTCCCACTTCTACTAGAAGTATCCAGCCGTGTAATTGTTGGTTGGTGGTGAAGTTGAGATGGTAAATTGTATCTACCTTGATCATTTGTATATCCCTGTACAGATCAAATTATTAACAAGATATTTGCTCATTCTGCTCCTTTCATTTAAGTGTGAATCTCTTTAGAAACACTCTTCTTTTCTTCAGGAATGAATTTGTTTAACGGAATATTAAATGTGGTTATATATCTATGGGTGTGTGTGTCATTTTAGATTTTGAAAATGGCATGTTGGTATCTATGAATTGATATAGAATTTGCAATTACTATTAGAAGTGGTGCTCTGGGACTGGGAAGTTTAGTTGGGGTATCGTTTATTTGAGAAAGAACTTTTAACTGTTGGTCTTCCTTTTTCTTTGCAAGTCTTTTGTTGTTGATAAATCTTTTTAGGACATTATCTACCTTGATTTTGAATTCCTCTGTTGTAAGATAAAGTAAATCTATTGTGTTAACTATGTTCGATATGCAATATATTAGTTATGATGTATATATATATGATGAGGTCAAGGGTCACACACTGTCATTTCTATGAAATGAAATGAGTTTGTTTAAATAAAAAATTTACGAAAGAGCAAAGGTCAGCAGGGGAACAAAGTGTCGTTTTTATGAAATGAAGTATGATTTGTTAAAAGAAAAAATAAAGTGAATTTTAAATTATTTAGTGGATGGTAAAAAAATTATGATCATTGCTCCCCGTTCCCTGTTAGTGATTGCCGATGCTTTTTTTTAACTTTATTACTGTTCGAAATGTCTATGGAAAGTTGTTCGGAAAAGTGATTCCAAATTTTATTCGGAAAAAAAGTGTGATAAAATTTATTTTGAGTTGCATATCAATTACAAATGTATACTTGGTTAGTGCTTGTACTAAAATATTATTTGATAGATAAACTTACTTGTTCTAGGCCTGCAAAAGCTTTTACTATAGATGGGGTGTGAATGAGTTAGGTGAGCTGATCTAGCTTATATTAGGTTAGACTTGATCTATTATAAATAGTAAAATAGAATATACTTAGGCTTTTAAAAAAATCTATTTAGAAAATAGGTCATAGGTTTTTTTTTTTTGTATATATCGAGTTTGTAAGTCTACATGTTGGTTTATTTCATTTTATTTATTTTAAATAAAAAATAAAATTATTATTTTAATAAATTTGAATAATAAAATAATATTATTTTAATTATTCTTTTAATTGTTGAATGTTTAACAGACTAACAGGTCTAGGTTAAGATTTTTATTTTTTAAATATAGGTCAGATTAGTCCTTATCACGGAACATCAAGTTATTTTCCTATCACGGTAGGTGTACGTAAATCAAGGGTCGGCTCTAAGTCCTTATCTCTTTGACTTAGTTATGGATGCACTAACAAAAGATATTCAAGAGGAAGTGTCATGGTGTATGCTTTTTGCGGACGATATTATGCGTATTGATGAGAGCAAGGACGGTGTTAATAGAAAACTTGAATTGTGGAGAAGCATATTGGAATCCAAAGGATTCATATTAAGTCGAAGCAAGACTGAGTATCTGAAGTGTGAGTTTTCTCTGGTACGAGATGGGGACCAAGATCTCGTGCATCTAAGTGGTCAAGAGGTATCCAAAAAAGATGATTTTAAATACCCGGACTCCATTTTGCAAAAAGGTGAAGAGATTGATGAGGATGTAAATCATAGAATCAGAGCAGGGTGGATGAAATTGCGCAGTGCATTTGAATTTTTGTGTGATCGCAGAATTCTCCTTAAGTTAAAAGGAAAATTCTATAAAACAGAAGTAAGACCGGCAATGCTATATGGAGCGGAATGCTGGCCAACACATAGGCAACATGAGCATAAGATGGGAGTAGCAGAGATGAGGATGTTAAGGTGGATGTGTGGTTATACAAGGATGGATAAGATAAGAAATGAAGATATTCGACGAAAGGTATGAGTAGTACCGGTAGCCGAGAAGATGGCAAAACATATATTGAGGTGGTTTGGGCTCGTGATGAGAAGGCCCATGGATGCTCCTGTGAGAACAGAAGTTTGTTACCAAGAGCTCAACACAAAAAGAGGCAGAGGTAGGTCGAAACTTACTTGGGGAAGGTAGTAAAACAAGATTTAATGGAGTGAGATATAGATTGGTGGACGGTATGTCTTAGAACGGAATGGAGAAAAGCTATTAGTATGGTGGAGGGTTAGACCCGTTGTTATTCCTATGTTCCAGATGGTCCATTTTTAGTCTTTTTTCCCTTATTTCCCCCACTTCTTCTTTTTCCTTTCTTTTTTACTTATATATGTATATATATATAGATATATCATTACTGTTTTTTTTTATAACCATTTTGTACTTTTCATGTGGGTTCATCTACCACCGACCTCAATTAATTTAGAATAAATGTGATGTTGATGTTGAAATACAGGTCAGAATAGATTTAAAATTTGGAGCTTATATAGACTAGGAGACTAGGTCAGATACAATATTTTTTATATAGGCCTGATTTATTGAAGCTGAAGTGTGTTTACACCCGTAACTATGGACATCCCTAATTAGAATCAAAACATTATTTGATTAATATACTAACTTGTTCTAGGCCTACGAAAGCTTTTGCTATGGCATTTCAGCCCAACAACTTGTTTTAGGCTCCATAAATAATTATGACGCGTTTATTTGTTTGTGCTTTATATTTAACTTTTCTTAGGTATAATGGATTTAATTTTTTAAGGATTGTTATATTAATTATCAAAATTTTAATAAAATCTGTTTTAATGTTTTTCTTAAAAGTTAAAAGTAATATCTATTTTAGAAAAAATCAATAAAATATTACGCTGCAATTTTTTTTTTCCAAACCGAAACTATCAACGAGTACATTTCATATAATTTTTGAAAGTCTCATGACTTATCAGAAACGTTTGAATAGGCTTATAAAAAAATCATGCATTGTTATTAGAATGAACTTTCTTAAAACTTAAATCATTTTATGTTTGGATGTAGTATTTAAAAAATATTTTAAATAGAAATTAGTTTGAATATTGAAAGAAGAAATATATTTTTGTATTAAATGGACATATAAAGCGTTTTTTTGTTTCAGACAGCATTTGAATGAAAAGCATTAATAAAGTTAATATATTATAATCCAATTGTTACTGTACTTTTTTTATGTATGAAATTTCTTGTCATAATTGGAATTGATGTTCAACCTTTTTTTCCCCTCCTTTTTGCTCCCTTCTCATAAGTGCGGTTCCTAAAAAATAAAATAAAAAAGGTGGCCTTAGCGCTTTAAACCAAAGCTATGAGTCTATGACAATGAACAAGGCGCTAGCATACAGCATTAGCACAAGGATTTGTTGGAATTCATAAACTTCAGAAATTCTAGCTAAGCATCATGTTAAAATGAGTACATATTGACAAAATTACTTGCATCAAGTAAACTCTCTTTCAGTTAAAAAAAAAAACAAAAAACGATGAAGAGCTTTAAAAGCAAGGTATATAACAATCATAAAAATGGGGGATTATGAATCTCTTTTGGAGTTACCCAACCCTAATTACCTCTTTGAGGCGAGTTGGCTCTCTCCGGTATCCCAACTATATAACCATATACTTGTGTTTCTGAGCTAGTCAGATTAGCAACATGTTATATAGCTTTGTGTATGTGATTCACTCTTGTGTTGGAAGGTAATACCACCATGTCCATGTTATTAGCAACTCAATGTTTTTGCTATATAACCTGAAAGGATTAACCAAATAGAAGAGATTCATAAAAATATAGAATCATATTGTAAGCAATGCCATGTTATTATTATTATTATTTATATTTTTAAAAAATAAAATCATCAATTGAGGTAAATGAAGTAAATGTTTTCTTTTGATAATTTGATTCACTTGATTATTATAAAGTGTCAATGGAAGTGTAAGCAAACCTATAATAGAAACAGATGAATATCAATCATAATTTTAAAACCTCTATGGCAATATCAAAGTCCTCATTAATTGCACAAATGGTAAATTGATAACAGAAGCATTTTATTTTTATTTTTTATTTTTTATTTTTTTGGGGTGAATGGAAATGATTGATTACCATGCATGTAGACGAAAAATCACAATGAGATGGTGAGGTGTTATCCATTTCTCTGTGGCAAATTCTGAGCAACCAAAGACCACAAGGATCATAGCTATCCCAACCATTCCCATCATAGAATTAAAAACTTTAAGCAAGCTGCTGCAATTGACACTATCATTAAAAAAAAAAAAAAAATTCCTCTGAATGTGGCTCTTTCACAATAATATTTACTTATTTAGCTGCAAATATGCATATAAATGACAAATATTAGAAATTTCCCAGAAATCATCGTCATTTTAAAAATAAAAAAACTAAAAGTTGAATTTAGAGTATCCAAAATCCAACAAATGTGGTTGCTGTGGTGTAGTGGTTATCACGTTAGTCTTACACACTAAAGGTCCCCAGTTCGATCCTGGGCAGCAACATTTTCTTTTTAATTTTTTAGGATAGTTGCTCATAATCACACAGCACTCTTCAATCTTCATTACTAATTATTTTTTATTGAAAAACAAAATATCAATAAGATTTTCTCTCTTTCTCTCTCCGGCCACTTCATCATCCTCTGTACGAAGCGGTTCTTCAATCGTAACAAACCCTAATCAACAGAGGGTTGCTTGCATCTTCAGAAGTTTTGTGGGTTGAATAAACTCAACAAGAGACTCCTTCTGTTTTGGACTAATGTTTTCCTTCAATTTCACTCTGTAAAGTGTCTCTAGCTTGGAGTGGATGCTTTACAATCATGAATACGAGTTAGATTCGTGGTGGGTTTTCATAAAGTTACACTCTTTTTCTTAAGACCCCGTTAAACAGAATCTGATTAAAGGGGGAAAAACAAAAAAAAGAAACTGAAGAAGAAGGTGCTTGTAGCCGAATCAGAATGCCAGAGGTTAGGATCATTGCAAAGAATTTCATGGACATGGTGGCTTCCATGCCTGCCATGAAGCTCGATAAGCTCTTTGAAAATGGATTCATCTGTGAAGCTATTCTCAGGTCATTATTTTATCTTATTTCTCAGTGCCATGAAGTTCCAGTAATTATTTTGGATTTATTATTTTATTTCATTTTATTTTGTTCTTTTTGAGAAATTAATTGTGGATATTTTGCAAGCTTCAGTGCCAGATTCTTACCTTTGATTCACCCTCCCTTCATATGGTGTTTAGTATTCATAGCTTTTGAATTTTTCTGGAATGTAAAAGATCATCAACTTCATGGTGCCATTGTTGTTGAAATATTTTGGTTTTTTTTTACTACTTGTTCAGAGTTAAGTGCTCTAAGTAGATAGTATTTGTTCATGAGTTTCTTGAGTAGTACTTTGTGGCTTTAACACATATTTATCTTAAAATATAAGGTCTCTTCCGCCTCTTGCAAAGAAATATGTCTTACAGCTGCTGCATATTGATGTGCCTGTGGCTGCTAAATTATTGGAGGAATGGGTGCTTCCGGATGGGATTTCAAAGCACAGAGTAGCCATTGATAGGTTGGTTCAATTAAGAGTTTTCGTTGAAGCTGTTGACAGGTACACATTTATTCATTCTTGAGAATTTTCGTTCTTTATATCAACATCAAAATCACCTTTAACCCTAACTAACTAGTTGGGTAGGGGGTCAATATTTGTTTATTATAAATTTTATGAAAATGAAAAGTAGATTTTTATGCTTCCGAAAGGTTCAAACTGATTCATTTCATTTCAAATGACAATTGGGAAAATGCTAGCCCTTAGTATGGAGTATGGACTTTTTTTTTTCTGCATGTTGCAATGTGTTTAAAGTCTCTGTGATAAACCTTATTCTATTTGTGACATGTCATAGTTCAGTGGAAAATATTTGCTTATATTATTTGTGCTTAATCTCTTACAAGGATTGCGTGCTCCATGGCATGCATGATATTTTTCTTGCTTTCCCCCTTTGTTTCTTTTGGAACACTTATTTGGGTAAAGTTATCAATTCACTTCATAGCATAAGGCAGTTAATGCTAATCACTTGATTTTATTCTTTTCAAATTTTCAATTTATGAGGAAGAGGAACGGATATCAATATGTGGTTCATTTCTCTGGATAAGATGTATTATTCTTCACCTCTATATGTGTCTTTGTATCAAGTTTTAAAAGTTACCATAGTTCTGGAAAATTGCTATTATCTGTTTGGAGCCTAGCCTTATCCAATTTACTTTAGTAATTTTTTCTCCTTCTGGCAGGAAGAATGAAAAGACTTACAAAGTTAATCCAACATTTCAGAGAAGTCTCCAGAAACTTTTAGTACATGGGTGAGTAATACATCATTTTGTCTTCTTTTTCTGTTCTTGTTAATAGTTAGCTCATCTCTGTAGTTGCTATGAGGATTACAAAATTGTTTATTTGAGTCATGTATTCCTCTTTATGCATTATGAGATAACTAACCTATATAGATGATGGGTGGTTTCTCTATGAAATTAAATGACCAGAATGAGGTTTAATAGTCACTCCTCCATTCTGAATTTTGATTAAGAAAAACAATCGCTCTAATGTAATTATGAAAATATAGACTTTAGTCAAACTACAAAAATATTTGCTTTACCTGGTAATATTTCCATGTGATTAAATATGGCAGTGGGACTTTGCCAAGGGAATCAATGCCTTCTAATATTACTGTGAGGCTCCCAAACTTAGAGGATCTTGAAGCTTATGCTCTAGAACAATGGGAGGTACACTGTTTGATCTTTTGATTCCACTCTCTATTTTATCTTTACATCTATTTAAGAATTTTATAATGTTATTTGATACATTAGTCGCTCTAATTATTTGATATAATTAATCTGCAGAACCTTGTTTAAATTTTGACCAAAATGAACCCTAAACTCTTCAGTGACTTTGTTTTGTGATGAACTAGTGTTTCTTGTTGCAACTTATAAGCTCAAGTCATGTTGAAAAGCCCTTAAATATTAGCTCTTCTTTGATGAAAGTTTTCCAGCGGCGTCTCCTGAGTCAAAGGTTATCTTTATTTGGCATTGTCACTTGTCATTTGTAACAGTTGCTTGCACATGTATGTGGGTGTTGCAAACTGTATCTCATATTTGACGTCATTTTTTTATGTTCCAATACAGAGACAAAGAAGCTCCAAAATTAACTGAAAGTGGTTTCCAGTTTTTGGTATGCATCAAATGATTTATAAGCCATCTGAACTTAATGGAATACATTCTCCTAAATATAGAATTTGTTCCTTGTGAATTACAGCTGATGGATACAAATGCACAGCTTTGGTACATCATCAGAGAATATATCTCTAATTCTGAGGTAACTCTAACTGTTTTTTTAAAAATGATTTTGCTCTTTGTTTTCTACATTCTCTTCATCATCCACTTTTGGTGCAGGAAAGAGGTGTTGATGCAGCTGACTTGATCTCATTCATGCTGGAGCTTAGTTTTCATGTCATCGGGGAGGTAAGACATTCTTCTTCCTTGGTGAGAATCTTGTCGAATAAAAAGCTAATATTATGATATTCTACAGTGATCAGACTTTTGTTGTCTCGTTCCTTTTTCTCTATAGCTATGTTTTACTAAAAATACTAAAACTGTAACTGTAAGTAGACTTCCTTTACATGTAACTTCAATTAAATGTGACTTTGACACTCTTTATTTTTTCAATGACTAGGCATATAATATAAACACGTTGACTGATTTTCAGAGGAACATAATTAAGGACCTAGCAGACCTTGGACTGGTCAAACTTCAACAGGTTATAATATTTCTGTTCTTATTGTTTTAGATAATGTGATGATGTTCATTATAATTTTAACTGTGTATATTTATTCATCAGTATTTTTATCCCTTTTTTCTTTCTTCTTTTTGTGACAAACTTTATAGGGAAGGAAAGAAAGTTGGTTCATACCAACGAAATTGGCAACCAATCTTTCAGTGAGCTTGTCTGATTTATCATCTAGAAAACAGGTTTCTTCTTGGTTTCAGAATGTATATTGATAGAAAAATTAAAACATGGCCTTGTTTCAGCATATGGTTTCCTTAAGTTTAAGGGAAATCCCTTCATAGACATGCTGAGGGGTGGAGACTCTATTATTATCAATGAGTTTGTTTTCAGCTGCATTTTTTTCCTTTGTGCCTTGTTCACGTAGGATGTCTTATTCTTCTTATTTTCCTTCTTTCCTTCTAATAAAATTTATTCTTTTATAAAAAAAAGGAAACTCTGAAAACAGATTTAGATGTTCCATTAAAATGTATTTCTTCATGTGTGTATGTATTTTATATGGTTTAGATGATCTTTTGGGGTATGGTCTGTATGCTGTTAGTATTGAAGTGATTTTATTTCAATCAATATGGCAAAGTTGTTTTTGCTTGTTCGTGTGCTTTGGACAGACAGGTCAGAGAGTCTTGGTTGCTTCATTTCAAACATCCCAAACTCGCAGAAAGCTCAAGTTTATTAGAGTTTTCAAGTTTTACTGGATCACACTTAAAAAGAGAGAGAAAGAAGGGGGGGGGGGGGGGTTGGTAGAAGGAAATATTTTAAAATCCTGGGAAAGTGAGATTGGGAATTCGATTTACCCATGTTCGGTGTTTGGCACGAGGATTGTAAATTTTTTCCCGAGGAAGTCGGATTCCCAGGATTCATGTTTATGAAGAAAAATTCTATCTTAAAATACCATCAAATGTGTGGTATTTTGAGAATCCCATTTGGTGGGAATATTTGATAATTTTTTTGGGACATAATTAACCTCAATCCACATTCACAGCAATATTTTACAATCAACCAAACATGGTATCAAAAAAATTAACCTAACATTCTAATGGATATTTAGGAGATATGCTGATTCTTGTTCATGATTCTTTTATTGAATGTATCATCTGTTATTACCTCAGACTGATGACCTCCTATCATGTCAACTGATCTTTGGTTGGCTTTAATGAATGGATTCTTTTTGGCTACAGATTGTAACAATAGATATGCCTTTAAAAAAAATTGGTGTAAAGAGTTGTGAATATTAATGAATGTGAAATGTCATTCTACTTATTTTTTTTTCAGGGATTTGTGGTTGTGGAAACAAATTTTAGAGTTTATGCTTACTCATCTTCAAAATTACATTGTGAGATATTGCGGCTGTTCTCAAGGTATGCAACCAAATACTTTGTAGAATGCTTTATTATTCAATTTTTGTTGAATAAAGCCTTTAGACTTTCCTCCCTTTCCCCTGCCATTCATGTTTTAGAACTTATATACATATCAGAAGTTGTTCTTCCTGGAAGATGTTTTTGGAAAATGCTTAATTTATCTGATACTATTTATAAATGTATATGAAACCATTAATTCAGCTGTAAAAACTTCTGAGCTGCCTATTTTGCTGAAATATAATTGCTTTAGTCTCAGTGCCAAGTGTTTTGTTTACTCATATCTAATAGGGGATAATTGTGATGTATCCAGGATAGAGTATACACTTCCAAATCTTATTGTTGGAGCTATTACAAAAGAAAGCTTGTATAACGCTTTTGAAAATGGCATTACAGCAGATCAGGCAAGTATTAGAAAATAGAATTTTTTTGTTTAATATATTTTCTTAAATTACGAAACTTGCTTACTTACCATGGTTAGATGGTATATTTCTTGCTACTCTTTGCCCTTTTGGCCTCTGATCATTGCTTTAATCATTTTAGTTTTGTGAAGAGTGAAGTAAGCCTTTACCTAAGTAGATCTGCCAGAGGAATATAGTAAGCTAGTCAATTTAGACATGGTATGTGGTGGCTGACCTCAACCCTTTCTGCTCATTTATATGCTAGCCTTAAGTAACGTAAACCAGTGTCCAAGATAGAAACCTAGAATTTCCATATGAACTTGCTTTAATCCTAGTTTTTAAACATTAAGGAAATGCTGTTTGTTTGAGTTGTGACTTTTAGGAAGTTTACTTCAGACAGTCTCTTATGCAAACAACTGTGTGCATTGTGTTGCAGATAATCAGTTTTCTTCAGCAGAATGCTCATGCTCGAGTTGCAGAGAGGATACCATCTGTGCCTGAAAATGTCACAGATCAGGTTTTGGAACATAATACTGTGTGTGTGTGTGTATTGTTTGTTTTCATTATCTGATGTGTAGCATTGTAATGGTGACAGATTAGACTGTGGGAATCAGATCTAAACAGAGTTGAGATGACAGAAGCATATTATTACGACGAGTTTCCTTCCAGGGTAAGCAACTTGACATCTTTGAGTTCATGTCTTAAGAATCCCCCGTTATGTCTACCTGATTATATGTATCATTTGTGGGGCAGGAAGTATTTGAAGCTGCATGTGACTGTGCCAGAGAGTGGAATGGTTTGTTATGGGAAGACTCAAAGAAGATGCATATGGTGGTCAAGACTGAGGTACATACGTATGTACGAGATTATTTACGCCGCCAAAAGTAGTACTAGGAAAGCCATCACCGTCTCATGCATCCTGGTCCTGCCAATAATTCAGCCACATCTCCTATTCTTTTTGTTTCATGTTTTTCCCTTTTAGGAATTTTTTTAATAAAAAATGAATGATTTTCGCCTTCAAGGTATCTAACTAGTTTTGACTTTATTCTTCTTCTTCCCTTCAAATCTTTTTTTTCCACTATATTATTTTAATGATGTGAAACTTTTATTTTTATTATAGAATTAAAATTAAATTATATTTTTTTATTGTCAAAGTACAATTTCTACAGTCGACAATCACAAAATCCAATTGTCAGACGGAAAAGAAAAAAAAAAATTTTGCCATGATTTGATCGAGAGCTATAAGGGTGTGTTTGATACAAGAGAAATTTTTTGGTGACCGGGAATCATGATTAATGGGAATTCAGTAGAAATTGAGTTTACTTGGAATTTTACGAAAGATGTGTTTGGTTCGCCAAAATATTACCGGGAATATTGGGTAAAAATTACTTATTTCATATTTGGTTTAGAACGAAATATGACTTGGAATATGAGGTTATTTTACAAAAATAACCCCAAACAATTTTTATTTTTGTAATTGATAGATTGGGTCTAGATTTTTATGTGTATTGGAGTATTTTTGTCTCAAAATTTATTGTTGTGCTTTCCCTTTACTTGGTATTCCGAATTACCATATTATTTTTGGTAATCTGAATAGTGACTTTTCTTTATAAATCAAATTACCGGTAATCCTTGGATATCCGGGAATCGTAATTTATTCCTTCTACCAAACGTAGTAATTACATTTACCAAAGAAGGGTTACCGGTAATCCTCTCCAAAAACTTGAACCAAACACCCCCTAAAGGTTATGATCAGATAGAAAATCGCATATCTAGCTCAACAACTTTCTTTAATAAAATCATGGAAGCCACGGTTTTTCACCTAAATTTCGGATATTCCCAGCTTAAAGGCAGCGTGAAGCTTCCAATATCTCAAGACAAAAGTCATAAGCAGTCATGCTGTTGCCCACAAAATGGACCTAAATCATGCTAATAAAAAGCAAGTTGTAAGATAAGAAACATAAATTCCTGTGGAAATGTAGCCAATAAAGAATGGTTGTGTGCACTATGCAGAAGTAGGCATGTCACCAGGCGGGTTAATGGGTTCAACAGGTTTTGGCTTGGGCTTTTGAACGGGCTCAGGCTCAGGCCTCTTAGGAGAAGCCTTATCCACTTCATCGGGTTCAACCTCGAACTGCAATATGCAAACGTATAATTGGGTTATTAGTTATTACAAGTGAATGTTAGAATATATCTGTAGAGTTATGTAGACTTTAGTAAATTCTTGACATTCAATAAAAAAAGGGATTGTACATCTACAACATGATTGATTCACTAAAATAAATTAGCCATTCAACAGTGACGGCTTAATGTGTGGGAAACCACTTAGAAGCAACAGAAACATGTTGATGATGTGTATTTTCTGCTTGATTCACTAAAATAAATTAGCCATTCAATACTAACCTTGTAACCGCAGCCTGATACACAAGCATGGAAACATTCCTGTACAGGAAGGGATTAATCATTAACATTTAAAGACAGCCATTCCATGATTAAGCTATTTAAAAAGCTACAAGCATATTGCAGTTCATTGCCATTCATTCCCAACATTGTCTACATTTTAGAACTGAACACTACATTTCTCTGACAACAATTCAACATACATAAACTTTTCCTAATTTAAGGTCGCAGAGTCAAACAATAAATCAATTAAGAGAGAGAAATCATTAGAGAATAGCTTTGTTCCAATAAATCCAAACCAGCATTGTAGATTGCAATCACTAATATGGGAAGTAAAAGAAGCAAAGGCAAGAATAGAAAATACCTCTGAATAACTGGCAGCTCCAGGAGAACGATCAATATAAGCACTCCACTGCTGATCCTTTAGTACAGGATCCTTGTAGCATATGTGCTCGCAGTCCTCCAAACCTGGTTAACCAATACTCTATCATTTGTAAATCAGAATCAATTTCTGTCAACTAGCAAGCCCAACTTTTACAATTTCCTTTCTTTTTCTCAGAATGCGCCAAGAAGAAAACTGAGATAAACCAAGTGGACTATAGAATATAGATATGCAGATTCTCAAAATATGAAGTAAGTGTGTATAATCAACTAACTAGTTCAGCCATCTACAAAGGCATAGCCATAGTTTGACCTAGTATATTCATTCTATATTGCTTCCATAGCAAAAACTAACATAGCCTTATGGTGCGACTCTGTTGAATATCATAGATACAAGAGGAAATGATAGTAATCCTTGTTGTATTCAACTACACAACATTGGTGCTATTATATAGCAAACCAATTGAAGAATACAAAGAGACACACTCAATGTGGGACTTCTACACTATTAACACTAACACTCTTAACACTCCCCCTCAAGCTGTAGCATATAGATCATATGCTACAAGCTTGATACATAAATAATACTCCCATTAGGAACCAAAAAAAACAATGCTACATCAACGAAATGAAATGACTAAGTACAACAAATCAACTGGAATGACCATCAGTCTGAAGAGCTGATAAAGAGACAGTTCTGGAATGGACATCAGAGCATGGATGGTGCCGGAATTATCATCGGCAAAGACAATTGAGCTGACCAGGACATCAGCATCAAGATCCCTCTCAGACATTTCATTTAACAGTTGGTGAGCAGCCGTGGTTTCCCCTTGACTATGCTACAAGCTTATTACAAGAAAGACCAAATAACATAACATCAAAATAAATCTCCTAAATGAGAAACCAAAAATCAACAATGTGCTAAAAATGGCGTCGAAATGAACATCAACATGGAAGATGCCGGAATGATCATCGGCAAAGACAATTGTGCTGGAATGACCATCAGCAACATGAACGGTGCTCCCCCTCAAGAGGAACTTCTAAACAGTGCCGAATTATCATCGGCAAAGACAATTGTGCTGGAATGACCATCAACAACATGGACAGTGCCTTCCTCAAGAGGAACTTCAGTGTCGGAATTAACATCAGCGGAGACAACATCAGCAACTTGGACAGTGCTCCCCCTCAAGATGGATGATGAATAGTATAAATACTCCATCTTGGGAAGAAAGAAGATTAAAGAAAAATAAAGCTTCGCGGAATCGGAAAAGTCGCCGGAGACGGTGGTGGATCGCCGAAAAAGTCGTCAGAAAGTCATCGGAAAAGTCACCGGAAAAGTCGCCGGAGACGGCTGTCAACGGTGGACGACGCGGTCAATGGTGGTCGGTCAACGACAATGGTGGTCAACCCAACAACTTCCCAAGGATCATTCTTTTCTGATGTGACAGATCAGTCTAAGCTGCAGTCACAGAGCATACTAAGAAAAACCCGAAAAAGAAATAGCAACGGGAATCCCTCAAGGAGGGTGATATCTCTCTATAACCATGTTGAAATTATGGAAAATAGAACTAAGTTAAACGGATTAAGATTCCTCTTGTTAGGCTCTAGATACCATGTTGAATATCATAGATACAAGAGGAAATGATAGTAATCCTTGTTGTATTCAACTACACAACATTGGTGCTATTATATAGCAAACCAATTGAAGAATACAAAGAGACACACTCAATGTGGGACTTCTACACTATTAACACTAACACTCTTAACAAACTCAAAAAAAATTACCGTATCGTTCAACTTCTTTATTGCTAAAGTGGTTTAGCTATAAAAAAAAGTGAAGCTGATGGGCTTTAGCCCTAGCCATACCGAAAACGAGATATATGATCATATAGAGCCAAACTCCAATACTTACACAAATTGTCAAGGGTAACTGACAATTTATGAAGCCTAGATTTTGAGTTGAATAATTTTTTTATCTGCGTAGCATTCATAAGGGGAAGAAAAAAAATCAATAAAGCTGCAAAGTGATCTCACATTCCTCCCATGTCTCTCCGTCTGAGTTGCAACCCTTTTTGCAGAATACTCGCCCTACATTAAAACAAGTAGGATTTGTGAGTGCAAAGCCAAAAAGAAATGCTAACAACGAATTCGGAGTGCAGATCGAAACCAACTAACACCACAACATGCTTCTAACGAGATCAACAACTATAATTGCTCTAAGAAGCTTAAATGAGCCAGGAATATTGCAAACCTCCCTACTGCATACTAATATTCAAAATTATGTATATATAAAAAAAAATGATTTGAATGATTCCACATATAATCTGCCAAAATATTCAAAATCAGCACGTTATGGGAAATGAAAAGGACTACACAATTCCAGAATTCCGGAACATAATGTTTATATGCATGCATTTGGCAAATTGAAACATCCCTGAAAATTACAAAAAAAAAAAGTTAAAGAGAGAGAGTGAGAAAGAGGGTCACATGGGATTTTGGTAAGAGCTGCATATTTATTGGTGCATTTGTTTCCACATGGAGACGCCCACGGTATCATCCTTCCTTTGTATTGTTCTTCGCATGCAGAATAGAGCAACGTAAAACAAAAACAAAAAAACCATGTAAACCAGACAAGGGTAGTTTGGTCATTCCGTGTTTTGTGGACCATTTCAATAAATCTTTGCTCCGACCAGTACTTAGCGGATCCTAAAATAACCGACAGTTCACAAATAATATTTTAATAAATCTGAACATTTTTAGTATAAAATCCAACGGGACATATTTACAAACTCTTATAAACTACACTATGTTTTTCTCGGAGAATACTCGTTACATTATATTCTCTCGTCCACACTATGTTTTTCCGGGACGGGAAAACATAGTGTAACTTGTAAAAAATTTTAAAAAAAAATTATAAACAGATCCTTCCACAAAATCTAAAACATATTTGATATTATTAAAATAATATAATTTTTGAAGAATTTAATATTTTTATATAATATGAGATGATTTTATCTCCTGTTTACATATAAAAATATATAAGTCTCGTGTGAAATAATGTGAGAAAAAAAAAAAAAAAAAAATATCCCACATATTATTTATATATGTGTACAAGATAATTCTATTACCCAAGAAAAATTGATTTTTTTTTTTTTTTTGAGACAAACATTAAACTTTTTTTATACATAGAATACATTAAAATTAATTTAAGTAATATTCCTCCACACAAAAAAAAAAAATCAGTAATATTCGTTATCACTATCGACCGATAGAGCAAAGTCCAAAACCCAATCCATAACGGGAGGTAGACTCGGAAACTCGGCGGTGACTCACCGATGCAACTCAGCGGCAACGTGTTGATTTCCGTGAAGAAACCCCCAATAGTGTGGTTCAAACCCTGTCTCTGCTTCGCGTTCTCCAACTCGACCGAGTCGAACTCGCTCCAAGCGGAGACACTGAAGACTCTGGAATGGAGCTCCATATGCAAACAGGTTTCGGCGTTCACGTCCACCGCCATGGGCTCCTCCGCCGCCTGCAATGCCCGGTTACCCGTCGGCCGGACCCCTCAGGAGAGCCAGAAGCTTCTCGATCAAACTTCGGCGGCGAGACTAATCACTCAGCCGCCGGATTTCTCCGGTATCAACGACTTGACGGAGATTCTCGCCGCCGCCACTTCCGGTCAGTTGCTAACGATCCGCGAGCTTTGCACCCTTCGCCGCACACTCACAGCCGCAAGGGAATTGTTCGATCATTTGAAACACTTGGATTCCACTGCTACTCATCCGCATAGGTACATATACAACTTTTTCTTTCTTAATTTTTTATTATCTTTTTTTCTTTTTCTTTTTTTGCTTTTACTGTGTGTTTTTATCAAATTGTTTAGTTTGAACTGCAAGATACTCAAAATATTATGAGTTTAATTTTGATACATTAACGGTGTAAATGTTTTGTTTTATACTGTCAAATGTGATGAGTCAGCATATCACCAAAAAAGTTAAACTGATAATGGTTGGACTTGGAATCCTTAAACTTCTTTAGTAATTTAGCTTTTTGTGATTGGACGATAGTGTAAACAGTTTTTTTTTTTTTATCAAAATTACATCCAAATTATATATATATATAATGTGACTTGGAGCTATTGAAGTTATAAAAAATAGCTTTTCCCAGCATTCAAGGGTTTTTTATTTTGTCTGATTCAGTTTACAAGCAGCTTCTTTTATGCATTTTGGCTAGGTGTTGTATTTTTCTTGACAAAGTTTGGAGCTTAGATCATATGGTAATGGATTCTCATGTCCCAATAAGGCCTTAAAAAAGAAAGTTTATCTCAAAGGAGATAATACAGAGTGTGTTGCTCCAATTGCACTTGTTCTTTTGGGCATAATTGCTTCCTTCCAGATATCCCAGGATAATGATGAGAATCAATAACTTTGTCGATGCAATTGTTTCCAATCAGGTACTTACCCCTACTTGAAATACTGCAAAATTGTAATTTCCAAGTGGACTTGGAGCGTAAAATAGAATTTTGCATAGATTGCAATCTTTCGGTAGTTCTTGATAGAGCAAGTGAAGACCTGGAGATCATTAGATCAGAAAGAAAGAGGAACATAGAAATTTTGGATTCTTTGTTGAAGGAAGTATCATCTCAAATTTTGCGGGCTGGGGGCATTGACAAACCATTAATAACCAAACGTCGATCTAGAATGTGTGTGGGAATTAGGGCTTCCCATAGATATTTGCTTCCAGATGGTGTAGTTCTGAATGTTAGCAGCTCTGGAGCAACATACTTTATGGAACCTAAAGATGCGATAGATCTGAACAATATGGAAGTTAGGCTTTCAAACTCTGAGAAGGCTGAGGAAAGAGCAATTTTGAGTTTTCTTGCATCTGAAATAGCAAGGTCAGAAGGGGAGATAAATTATTTATTGGATAAAATTCTCGAGGTTGATGTTGCTTTCGCAAGAGCTGCCTATGCTCAATGGATGAATGGGGTATGTCCAATTTTCAGTTTAGATAATTTTGAAAGCTGTGATCCTGAAGAAGAGGACAATGATTTAATGGTAAATATTGATGGTATACGCCATCCATTACTTCTAGAATCCTCTCTAGAAAAAAATTCAGGTAATCTTGCACTAAGATCTGGAAATGCTGCTGAGTTAGGTAATGGAAATGGAGCAATGGCTTCTAAAAATACATCACAAGGAATATCAGACTTCCCTGTGCCAGTTGACTTTAAAATTAGACATGGAACTAGAGTGGTGGTGATCTCAGGACCTAATACTGGAGGAAAAACTGCTTCCATGAAAGCATTGGGCCTGGCATCCCTTATGTCAAAGGCTGGAATGTATTTGCCTGCCAAGAACAGTCCAAAACTTCCTTGGTTTGACCTTATCCTTGCAGATATTGGAGATCACCAGGTAATTTCTGAACTTTTTTTTCTGGACAATAAAGATATTTTGTTGACATCATGTAACTGTTTCATTTGTTTTCTGATTTTTTTTTCTCTTCCAAATTGAAGTCCCTTGAACAAAATCTCTCAACTTTTAGTGGGCACATCTCACGTATTTGTAAGATTTTGGAAGTGACCTCTAAACAATCACTTGTTCTCATTGATGAAATTGGTGTTGGAACTGATCCTTCAGAAGGTGTAGCTCTTTCTGTTAGTGTCTTGCAATATCTGAAGAATCTTGTTAACTTGGCTGTTGTGACTACTCATTATGCTGATCTAAGTAGCATGAAGGAAAAGGATACCCGTTTTGAAAATGCAGCAATGGAATTTTCACTCAAAACATTACAGCCTACTTATAGGATCCTCTGGGGATGTACTGGTGATTCAAATGCATTAAGCATAGCACAATCTATTGGCTTTGATAGAAATATAATTGATCACGCACAAAAATGGGTCGAGAAGTTAAAGCCAGAACAGCAGCAAGAACGAAGAGGAATGCTCTATCAGTCATTACAGGAGGAAAGAAACCAATTAAAGGCTCAGGCTGAAAAGGCTGCATCCATTCATGCAGAAACTATGAACATATACTTTGAGGTAGATGTTTAGCTGGAAAGAGATTATTAGTTTCTTGATAATAGTTTGTTTTCCTTGGTCGACATAGTATTACAATCAATGTTGTTCCTTGTCAAGTTATCTGAAATTTGCATCCTTAATAAGTAAGCATTCAGTTCAGTATATTGACCAGAAAACAGTAAAGAGTGATGGGGATGTTGTATAGGTTTGTTGAATAACACATCATTTAGTGCCTTATAACCTTTACTAGATATGACCAATCGCTGAAGATGGCCAACAGCTGTTAATTTCAATATTTTAGGGGAGTTACTTCTATAATCTGGCCATCTGGTTTACTAAGTTCACAATTATATAATAAGTACATAAATTCTTCCTCCATAATGCTCATTTCTTTGCTTTTTCTCTTATTTTTTGTCCCTTTTTTTTCAAAAACTATTGCAAAGATCCAAGCGGAGGCAGAAGACCTTGATAGACGTGAGATGGAACTTATGGCAAAGGAAACTCAACAGGTCCAACAAGAGCTCGTGGATGCAAAATCTCAGATGGAAACTGTGATACAGAAGTTTGAAAAGCAACTCAGAATTTCTGGTCGAGATCAACTCAATTCACTTATTAGAGAATCTGAATCTGCAATTGCCTCCATTGTAAAAGCTCAAACTCCTGCTGATTGTTTTCCCATCAGTGAAGCTGATCACACTTCATATACTCCACAATTTGGAGAGCAAGTTCGTGTCAAGGGATTGGGAGGGAAATTAGCCACAGTAGTAGAATTGCCTGGGGATGATGAGACAATCCTGGTACAGTATGGTAAAGTGAAAGTCCGTGTGAAGAAAAATAGCATCATAGCTATCCCAGCTGGTGCAAAGAATGTTGTAACTAGTTCTTCCAAATATCAGGGGAGGCAGGTATGTATTTAGATCTTTGCTGTCATGTAAATGTTCAAATGATATAATTTACCTTTCAGGGAAAAAAACATAAAAACAAAGTGATATATACTTTCCCATTAAGAAAGTGATTGGACGAGTATTAATTAAGAGAGACCTTTTCGGACATGGAAAAACCTAGCTGAGCATTGAATCAAGACCTGTTGTTGATCGTGGTAGTAACTTTAGATCATCCTATGCTCTAGACACATTGGAGTTTACATCTGTAAAATCATTTTTGTCTCCTCTGTCCACTCGGATACTATGCACATTATGCTGAATTAAGTAATTTCAGACCCAGACATTATTTCTGATGACCTTTTCTTTCATCAACATATATTATTGTCACTTTATAATATATGTTGTTATACTATGCAACGATTTTCACTGTGTTAAAATACCAGGATTTGTTTTTGAAAGACGAGAGCAAAAGGGGGAGTGGGATGGTTCAAAGGATGATAATCATTGGTTTAATTCAAAATGCTGAGATTTAACATTTCGATCTAATATTGTAGAGTTCGCGGAATGGAGAATACAGGGGTAATTTAGAGGCAAACAGCAATGATGATCTTTCTTATGGTCCTGTGGTGCGGACATCTAAGAATACTGTGGACCTACGTGGTATGCGAGTGGAAGAAGCTTCTATCCACCTTGAGATGGAGATTAATGCAAGTCGTCCATATTCGGTTCTCTTTGTAATACATGGGACGGGTACTGGTGCTGTTAAGGAGCGTGCGTATGAGATTCTGCAAAATAATTCACGTGTTACTAATTATGAACCTGAAAGTCCAATGAATTATGGTTGTACCATTGCTTATGTCAAGTGAGCCCTCATTGTCCTGGTGCAATAAGCTATGCCGGGTTGAACCCCGAGTTTTCCTGCTCCTTCCTTACCGGATCAATCAAATGACTAACTTAATATGTACATAAACACATTTGATATAATCAACTTACGAGTTTATAAAATTTAGAAGTTTTAATTTATTTACACTGAAGCTGTAGTTTGCATTTTATATGTGCTTTGTTTTGTTGACACATCTCATGAAGCATTCTTTACAGATTTTTCTTGAAAATACAAGGTGAGTTTACAATTTATTTCATCTATATGATAACTCGAGAACTGGTATCACTCTGATGCCCCATAAATTGATGTTGGTCTGCAATGGTAAGGTCGGTTGATAGAAAGTCCAAGAAGAGGCTACCATAAACCTCAAAGCCCCCATAAGAAAATTGTCTACAAGTGTAAATCTTTATGGCCGAATTCTATAGTTTATGTTGGAATTCTAGAATTTAAGTAAGGAAAAAGGACAAAGTCGTACAATTAATAAAAACTTTCTTTTATTAATATCTTAACTTATCATCAAATAGCATTATTAGAAATTTTATCATGCAAGTAAATCGAATTCATACTCTAATGTTAATATAAGTAAAATTATTAGATGGGTGGATTATTCAAAACTTTTCTTTACTATGAAATATCTTCTTCTTTTTTCGAGAAATTCTTGCAAGTTTCACAACTAAGAATATGGAGAAAATATAGAAGAAATTTGACGCTGTGAAATGAGGTCATTGGAGTTGCCAACTTGAGTACTTAACGATTAAGTAATCAACAACAGAAGAGTCAAATGCCAATCTAAGTCAGTAAGACGCGTAGTTTAACCGTTTTGCGAGCGTAGCCGTTGGTTGTTGCCGACACATCCGTTTTACCCCTTCCTATAAATAAACCCAGATTACATTCACATTCTAAAATCACAAATCAAAATCAAAAACCACTCATGGCCTCCCAAACACACCTGGTACGTGTTCCTATTCCTATTCCTATTCCTATTCCCTATATCTCACGTGCTTGCTCTTCTCTTAATTTGTTGTTTGAATCAATTTAACTAACGCATTCAATTTGGGGTTTCATTTTTTTCTTTTCAGGGTGAGGAGAACAAGGAAGAAGAACAACAACATAAACTCAAGTACCTAGAGTTCGTGCAAGTTGCCACCGCCCAAGTCCTCATGCGTTGCGCCACCGTCTACGGTTGCGCCAAGGAACGCTCCGGCCCTCTCAAGCCGGGCGTACGCGCCGTCGAGGGAGCCGTCAAGAATGCAATCGGCCCCGTCTACGACAAGTTCCACCTCGTTCCCGACGAGCTCCTCCGCTACGCCGACCGCAACCTCCACAACTCAATCTCCGCCGCGCATAGGGCTCCGGTCGCCGCCCGAACCACCGCCTCGGAGATGGCGAGGAGCGTTTACTCAAAGTGCGAGCCGGCGGCGAAGGTGCTGTACGAGAGGTACGAGCCGAAGGCGGAGCAGTGCGTGGCGTCGGCGTGGCGGATGCTGAACCGGCTGCCGCTGTTTCCTGCGGTGGCGAATGTTGTTGTGCCGAAAGCGGCGTATTGTACGGAGAAGTATAAAGAGACGGTTGTGGCGGCGGCGGAGAAGGGTTATAGAGTTTCGGCGTACCTGCCTTTGGTGCCTGTGGAGAGGATAGCTAAGGTGTTTATTGAAAAAGAAAAGAAACTTGAATGAGGAACACAAATGGAACAGTGGCCAAAGACAAAAAAAAAAATACCAAAATGTGACTTGATATATTTCATTACACGGAGTAGCGAAATATGCCAAGTCAGAACCAAAAATGTCACGTGTTAGAGAATTCTCCCTGTCTAACACGTGACATTTTTGGTTCTATCCATTCTGACGCGACATATTTCGCTACACCATGTAACAAATTATTTACACATATATTTCGCTAGACAGAATAGCAAAATATGTCACGTGACATTTTGACAAAATTTACTCAGCATGATATTTTGGTGTGTTTTTTTGCCAACGCACTTTGGCCACTGTTCCAACACAAATGCTCCGCTCATCGGTGCTAGTTTTGTGTTGCTACGAGGATTTAGCTTATGGGATTGAAAACTTGGGAATATTATGTGGAAAAATGTGTATGGTTTTAAAGAAAATGTCTATTATTTTAAAGTATGTAAAGTTATATTATTTTAACAAAGAAATAAAGATAGATAAAGGAGGAGAAATTGTTAAAACAAAATAAAATAAAGTTGTGGATCTTATTTTTTTGTGAGAATAAAATGATACAAATTGTGTCGTCGTTTAGAAGGATAAATATTTTTCTCGTAATATTATCAAATATATTTTTCTATTTAAAAGTTGAATCAATAAAAATATTTTTAATTATTTAATCGACGTGCTTCCAAATATAAAATGGTATATATATTATCAACATAAAATGGTAGAATTATTTTACGATGCGTTTGTTCTTTGTTCATTGTAAAATTTGTTTAAAATATATTCCCATCTTACATACGTTTGATATGTTTGAATTGTCTTTATTAGTAAATTATTTGTAAGTATCTTTTTTTAAGTTTTGAATGAAGTTAGACGACCCTAAATTTTTGTTTAAAAAAAAAAAACCAATATCTTGTAAATAAAAAATTGAGATTAATCTTTATTTTTTTAAAGGATAGAGTTGTGTCATTTTAAACGAGAGAAAGAGATACACAATAAAAATCATAGGGGAAAAAGTTAGAGATTTTTTTAATTTAAATTTTAAATAAAAAATACAAGTTTTAACTAAAAGGATAAACATTTTTTCTATAAAATATATGTGACAAATGTGAGCTAGTTTTATAAAAGTCATTGGGCTTCACAGACCGGGTTGCATGATCCTATGAATTTGAAAAGTCTGCTAAGAGAAAAAAATGTTGTATCGTATTCCCTTCCCGCCACTGTCAGCTAATGTTGTTAAAACGTAAAGTCTATATAAAAATGGTATGGGTAAGCAGAAACATAAAATCGTAAAACATAAACGAAACGTAAAAGTTTACTACGTACCAAAAGTATATATATACAACATATGTAAAACCAAAACACATCAAGCCATAAGTCATCACAAATTTAAGTCCAAACACTAAGGGCTTGTTTGAGAGTTAATTTTACGAGGGAAATGAAATGAAGGGAAGGATTTTATTAGTCTCTTTGTGACTATAAAAAAGTGAGGAAAAGATTTAGGGATTTTCATAAAACTCTCCAAAACCTTTCTTGTTCTTAACATTAAAATTCCAACAATTTGGGGGGTTTTAACTCCCAAACAAGGGAAAGGAATACATTTTATTTCCTTTCCCTTCTTTCCCCTCCCCCTCTCTTGAATTCCTTTTTTTTTCGTTCCCTTCAAACTCTCAAACAAAGCCTAAAGAAAATAAGAATTAAGTTCAAACTCAGTCATCACAATACATATTAAAATCAAAACACAAAGTTAATGAAATTATAAAAGAGATCAATATCTCTAATTTAAGTCATTGGAGTCAAAGTCAATTTTCACTATTTGTTACAGGAATTAGCGTGGGTGGGTGATCGTGTCTGGAATTTATATATAAGTCCACCAAGAAAAAAGAAGGGATAGGCTCAAGGCTAAGCCCACTAAAAGAATGTTTTTGTGGCGTGGGTAACGGTTACCTCTCTGTCAAACTATTATCTTCCACTTCCTCCTCCAAAAAGCTATTTTCTCTCTTTCTCACTCACTGTGTGTGTCTACATTGAGACGTGAAACAATCTCTTTAGAAGTGGAATCTCCCCTAACTCAATTTACACAATGTGTGTTGCTTTGCCACAAGAATCTCATCGTTTTCTCCCTTCTATAAACATCATTTTCATGCCTACATGACTCGCTTCTTCACCCTGCGCTACTGAGAGACACACCTACTACATACTACCTTCATAGCTCTAAACTATGGCGGAGCGTGAGACTGTGTTGATAATGGCCAACGAGAAGGGCCATCGACAATCACGAGCGATGCAACTTCCAACACTTGCAATCATCGATACCCACCCACACTAATAAAATTATAAAATATCCTCCATTTCTTTCTTTTTTTCAGTACTGAGTCAACTCGATAAACTCATCAAGTCAACCGAGTTTGCCGAGTTAATCCGGCGTTTCAATTGTTTCTACACAGATTTCGTTCCTACCATCATTCCAACAAATTTTTGGATACAAAAAACATAGAAACAGACGTCTCTACGTTTGAAAATGACATTTTAACAACACTGCACCAACCAACGCATCATGGGAATCACAAAAAGCACATAATTTTATTTTATTTAGTATTTTTTTACAGCTACATAAACAGAGACATACATAAAAAAGTAAGCTTTTTGAATTGTCTATAAAGAATAATTATCGTATTGGATTCCTTTGCATGGAATCACAAAATGCACGATATTTTATTTTAAGGTAAAGTATTTCTCTAGTGACTCCCAAAATTACGTCGTTTTAAATTAATGAATGATGTTTATTTAATTTTGTTTTTTTTTTATCATATGAATTTTACTGAAACACCTTTCATTAGTTCCCCTAAAATTACGAAAACACCCTTCATTAATTCAAAATGACGTAATTTTGGGGGTCACTGGAGATAAGTTATTTCCAATAACTGGAGAAATACTTTACCCTTTATTTTATTGATTATATTTTACAATAACATAAGGTTATCTAGATAGAACTTCATTATTTTTTTTTCATTGGGTTAGAGATTGTTCATATGCGATCATCAATAGTGTGTGTTTGGTTGTATAGTGTAGAAGCAAAATGGGTGGATTGGCGAAAGATATGAAGTCAAAGGGAGAGGTTGAGGAGTTGGTCAATGGTGGTTCTAACGTTGTCATTCACTTCTTGGTGTCATGGTGTGAAGCTTCTAAGCACATGGATAAATTCTTATCTCACTTGTCCACTGATTTCCCTCATACTCACTTCTTAAGGGTATGCTTTCCTTAATTACCCACTTTCTTTCATTTTTTTATTTTTATTTTATTTTATTTTTTGGTTTGTTTTACAGAGATATTGTTTCTTATATTGTATGAGACTAATTGTGTCATGCAACATACAAAAAAGTAAGTGGAATCTACTCAGAAAAAAAATGAGGCTCACATGTTATCATCCGTATCATGTAAAAATAAATGACTAGAATTAAAGCAGAAGTTAACATACCAGTAGTCGTCTCATATGAGATGCGTGCCAGAAACTTGCACGCATCATCAAAGGCAGAGGCAGATGGGTGCTAGGGTGGGCGGTTGCCCCTCTTCCTCTTAAAATTTCTAGAAATTTTTTTTTATCGAAGGTAAGTGGTCCTCCACCCACTAAAGAACAAGGGAGAAAAAAGATCAAATAAAGACGCTGCCAGTAGTTGTCAAAACCACCACTTTTCAAAGCTCCACCTGATTTCTAAAAGTGAAGGTACACACCATTAAATACCCCCTCATTGCAGAGGTTACTGTGGGGAAACTTTTTAGAGTTGAGATGATGGACTTCAGTGAGGGTGTTATTATGCAGAGTTACACTGCCGATGACATCGAGCACTCTGATCTTTCAATTGTGAGTTCTTAATTATTATTGTGTTTTGATGTTTACGGTAATTTTGTCCAGCCGTTATGTGGTGTATTTCTCTTGTGTGTCGCGATATCAAACTGTGGAGAAAATTTTTGATGCTCCAGGAGCACCATTGACTCAGTGGTCCGGACCAATCAAAATCGAGAGAGAGGAGGGAGCAAAATTATTTTTTTATCAAGTGTCAGCCCCTTAATGAGAGGAGCGCATAGGCCCGGAGCACTAAATTTTTGCCCAAACCGTGACCTATCTGCGAGATGTGCAAAATAAGCAAAAAATCCATAAGAATAAAATTTGAAGAAAAAAGTTCTTAATGGTAGGTGTCCAATGATATGCATTAGAGGCTCTTAAAGTACCTCGATTTACTTAGGCATATCTTCTGTATATTTATTTCGGCATATCTTTTTTCTGTACTCCGACCCAATGGCAAGATCACCAAATTTACTTCTATAATGAAGTCCTAACCCAATTTACTTCGGCTTGTACATTTGATTTTTCGCCCCCAGGAAAAAAATCCTGGCTCCGCCACTGCGCATCATGTGCTACTAGGGATGTGATTTAGGTCATGCACATCCTTCAAAGATCCTTGGGAGGCTCGCCTCACCTTCAAAGTCCCGGAACGTCCGTCGTTCCAAATATCCTGTTAGATGTGCGTTCGTTGCACAGGATCAAGTACGCCTCACTCTCTGGCACTGGGGTCAATGTAGATGCGTTCACCAGCCATTTAACTAATTAAAAATTACAAAAATTCATAATTACTATTTTTTAAATATCAACATTCATTATTTAATCACCAAATTATAATTTCAATTTATTATATTTAAAATTAAAAAGTATGCATGTTTAGGTGATTATCCCATAAATTATAAAAAGCCTTCTTACAATCATTTAAAATTAATTAAATATAACATTACCCAATATCCTAAATAAAGGCCAAATAACATATTAAAAATATTGAAATAATTCAATAAATTACAATCTTAAATACTATAGCATAAAATGTACTTCTATCTTATGATTTCATAAATGACACACAAATTAATTTACAAAATAATGGCCAAGGATAGATACTTCTGTGTATTGATGAAAACTCCAAATTATAGAGAGAAAGCCGAGAAAAAAAAATTAGAGAGAGAAACTTAATTTTAAAGAGAAGAAGGAAAAATGAAGAAATGAAATGAGCGAATAAAAGAGGGAGGGAAGTGGGATAGGTTTAGCAAAAGATCTCGCATGAAATTTGTGCACCACTAGTCCTGTACTTGTCAAGTTCAGGACTGCCAACGTGGCAATAAAACCTGTACGTAAGACATGCGCGACTGACTTGGATACAAGTGACTCATGAAATTGGAGCGAGACTGGATGACGTGGCTGAAAGTCTATAAAATAATGGTGTAGGATTAATCCTCTAGTAATCAGATATATGTTTGACTCCGTTAGTTTGAAATTTTTTATAAAATATGTTGATAAAAGTTTGATTGCCTATTAATAGAGAGGACATTTGGAAAATAAGAATCCAGATTGATAAAAGTTTTTGGACCTCACGGACTGGGCTGTCTGATTATACGAGTTTAAATTATCCGTAAAAAAAAAATGAATATCTCATGTGAAAAAATAGTCATGTGATCACGTTATTTGATTATAACCACTCATTTAAATATTATGCATTTTTCTCTCTCTTATCTCATCATCAATAAGTGGTTGTGATCAAATAACATAACCACATGATCACTTTTCCACGTAGAGAATTCACTCCAAAAAAAAATGTCATATTATATTCCCTTCCCACCATTATCATTTATCGCTACCAGCCACGCGTCATGGGAATCACAAAAACAAACTATTTTATTATATATATAACTATTTTATTATATATATATATATATATATATATATATATATATATATATAAAAGATAGGATATACTTACCACCAACAAAGTGTATCATCTTTACAACCAACTTAATTACCGTTGATTTTCATTAATTTAACGGTTATAATTTATTGGAAATTAATAATTAATTAATAAATATGATTCAATAATTCCCAAAAAATTATAACCGTTAGATTGACGGAAATCAACGATGATTAAGTTGGTTGTAAATGTGGTAAATTTTTTTGGTGATAAGTATATCCTTCCCGTATATTTTATATATATATATATATATATATATTTGAGTTAAAATCCTTTGACACTAGTGTCAAATTTTAATTTTGACACCTCATCTGAAAGCCGTTAGATAGAAAAAATCAACGACTCTGATTTGTAAGCATGTGACACCATTAATCTTTTTTGATCTAACAGTTCTCAGATAAGGTGTCAAGTTTTAAATAAATATATATATAAGGGATTTTATAAGAGTTATGTTGTAAGAAAAGTGATTGTGTAATGTTATAGAGATTCGTTTTGCGTGCCGTGGTTTTTTTTTTTTGCTTCAAAAAGTGTGGGCCCCACAAAATATTGTGAGTGTGTAGGAAACTTTTTTGTGTCATATGAAATGAAAAATGCAACCCCATATATATATATATAGGTAGGATATTTTGACTAACAATTTTTTTTACTACCATTTTACTACTACTTTAATCATCATTGGATCAAAAGTTATTTTTCTTTTCTCTTTCTTCATTCAACTTTTCCTCTAATCCAATGGTGATCAGAGTGGTAGTGAAAAAAAATGGTAGTCAAACTATCCTAACTCATATGTATATATATATATATATATATATATATATATATATAAGATTATTTTTTCGACGATAAATATTCATTTAACTCAAAACGACGTGATTTTGAAACAGAAATTAAGATATAATTTATTTCAGATTGTAATAGTCTTTCTTATTGTAATTTTTTAACAGACATTATTTTAGAAGTCAATGTAGATAACTTATCTATGTAAATATTAAATAACTATATATATAAGGAGACTGGAGACATATATATAACTTTATTTATTTGTTTTTGTTTTCATCAGGGTTAGGGTTTGTTTCTGCGATCATCGACACAGTGTGTGTTTGGTTGTGTAGTGTAGAAGTAGAATGGGTGGATCGGTGAAAGATGTGAAGTCAAAGGTGGAGGTTGATGAGGTGGTTCGTGGTGGTTCTCCTGTTGTTCTTCATTTCTGGGCGTCATGGTGTGAAGCTTCTAAGCATATGGACAAAGTCTTCTCTCACTTGTCCATTGATTTCCCTCATACTCACTTCTTCAGGGTTCGCTTTCCTTCCTTAACGTCTTAGTTTCATTCTTTTCCTTTCTTTCCTTTCTTTTTATTTTTAATTTTTAATTTTTTTGCCGCTTTGGTTTATTTATAAAAACTTGTAGGTTGAAGCTGAAGAGCAACCCGAGATATCTGAGGTTTATTCGGTCTCTGCTGTTCCTTACTTCGTCTTCATCAAGGTATGACGTTATTCACCTCCTTTTTTCTCTTTTATTTTTATTTATTTTATTATTATTATTTTTCATGTGCTGCTCTAACTGCAACTTGCAAACTCTTTTTAGACTATGATGCCTTCTCTGAGCATTATGCGTTTGTTATTGCTGATGGGCATAACATGAGAGTGGAAATAATTTTTATTATGAAGTACTAATGGTTTATGGGTTTGTTCGAGTTGCTGTATATATATATATATTATTGTTATTATGATATGATATCTAGTGTCTGCTGTCTTTTCGAGTAAACTTTAGTGCTTAGTTAGTGTTAATTCCAAATTAAATGGCAGAATGGCTTATTCAAAATGAATTCTGATGGAAAGCTTATGGCGCTGTATACTTTGATATGTTAAGGCTCTACTGTCTCCCTGGTATCTTTCTCCGGAAAATGCAGGGCTTTTTCTTCTGTTTTTTTTTTTTTTTTTTTCATTATCTCTTGCTCATTCTGCCAGTGTTAGGTTCATTTTAATATGATACAACAGATGACCATGGCTCTGTTTTTAGTGATCGTTCTTGTCGAACAATATAGTATAGTTTAGGGTAGTGAGTCTGGTTGATGTTTTGTTTTTTTCTGAGTTTCTTGGGGTTAGGGGAAGGGGGGAAGGGCTATTGCTTTGAACCTGCATCCTCACCAATGGTAAGTTAGTTTAAAGGTCTGTTTCCAAAAGGTATGTGTCCAAAATGAACGGTATTTTCAAAGAAAGATGAATTTTTTTGCATGAAACAGAATATGGTGCTAATTTAAAGATGAGCGAGCTCCATATTTAGTCTTGGAACCTAGAGTGGAAAACCTTTAGAAGTTTTGACTACCTATTACCAAAACATTAATAAAATGAAAAGGCAATGACAGGTATATTATGAAGTTGGTCTTTAGTCTTTACTCACTGTTTGGGGAACGTATCTCAGCTGCACAAAGGTCGGTAGGTGATTAACTTTAAACTTTTTTGGCATTGTGAAGTATGAGAGTTCTTCCACTTAAATTATCTTATTGTACTTGGTTTATGTCCCCAATTATTTTTTTTAATAAAACTGTTTATTTAGGTTAAAGAAAGATTATTATGCATGATTATCTGCTGCATTGGACTAAAGAAAACTTCTCTGCATGCAGCCAAGACGATTGCATATAAACAGTAAACTGAAATTGGATTTATAATTCACTAGGGTTATTTGTTGTGTATATAAGCTTTTGCGGGTTTATGATTAAGACTGATTTTTGATATCGTTTTCGTGTTTTTTTATCGAAATTCCACCATGTAAACAAAAGAGTTTCTTCATTTTATTGCAATTATAATACTCTATGATGATTCAATTCAACCTGTCATTTGGGATTAAAGAATCCCTTCTTACCTTCTTTGCTTGATTTTATTAGTTGATTATAATTCGTTTTCTGTCAGGATGGCAAGACCTTTGATACATTGGAGGGAGCTGATCCATCAAGTTTAGCCAATAAGGTTGCGAAAGTAGCAGGCTCTATTAACCCTGGAGAAGCTGCTTCTCCTGCCAGTCTTGGGATGGCTGCAGGACCTGCTGTTCTTGAAACAGTGAAAGAACTTGCAAAAGAAAATGATTCTTCAAAGGAAAAAAGTCAAATTCAACCGGGGCTTAGTGTTCCTCTGAAAAAGAGATTGCAGCAGCTCATTGACTCTCATCCTGTCATGCTTTTCATGAAAGGAAGTCCTGAAGAGCCAAAATGCGGATTTAGCAGAAAAGTTGTTGATATTTTGAAGGAAGAAAAGGTCAAGTTTGGAAGTTTTGACATTCTGTCAGATTTAGAGGTTCGTGATGGCTTGAAGAAGTTTTCTAATTGGCCCACGTATCCTCAGCTTTACTGCAAAGGAGAACTTCTTGGTGGGTGTGACATAGCAATTGCTATGCATGAGAGTGGGGAATTGAAGGAGGTTTTCAAAGATCATGGAATTGATACTATTGATGAAGCAAAAGCAACAGAATCAGGAAATGCGAAGGGTGGCATCTCTGAATCTACCGGTTTGAGTACAACCTTAACCTCTAGGTTGGAAAGCCTGATAAATTCAAGCCCAGTTATTCTGTTCATGAAGGGAAAACCAGATGAACCAAAGTGTGGTTTCAGTAGGAAGGTAGTTGAAATTCTCCAGCAAGAGAATGTTCACTTTGAGAGTTTTGATATTCTTACTGATGAAGAAGTCCGTCAAGGTCTTAAGGTTTATTCAAACTGGTCCAGTTATCCTCAGCTATATATAAAGGGGGAGCTTATTGGCGGATCAGACATTGTGTTGGAGATGCAAAAAAGTGGAGAACTTAAGAAGATTTTACATGAGAAAGGGATTCTTTCGGAAGAGACTCTTCAAGATCGTCTGAAGAAATTGGTTGCCTCTTCCCCCGTGATGCTCTTCATGAAGGGCACCCCGGATGCTCCAAGATGTGGTTTTAGTTCCAAAGTTGTAGATGCCCTTCGACAGGAGGGTGTGAGTTTTGGGTCCTTTGATATATTAACTGATGAGGAGGTGAGACAGGGATTGAAGGCATTCTCAAACTGGCCTACCTTTCCGCAACTCTACTACAAAAGTGAGCTGATAGGTGGTTGCGACATTGTGCTGGAGCTACGAAATAATGGGGAGCTGAAGTCGACTTTATCTGAATAGAATTATTACTATTCCATTAAATAACAGGGTTTGTATCTTAGAAGCCATTTTTGGCTGTATGTATTGGAATTTGGAACGATTCTGATAACATTATACATGGCAATTTTGATCCTGGTGTCAGGAGGTTGTGTTTTTCGACATTATAATGTTCTACATGTTTTCTTTTTATATTACCTGATTAATGGCTGCTTTGTTCAACCTCCTGTAAACTTCTTTTCCAGCTTAGTATCTATAGATTGCGGGCTAAGTAATTAGTTGGCCGTAGACTATCAACTTCGAGAGTGATTCTGAAATGATAGTTTTCTGACCCAAAGGAAAATTTTAAATCTTGGTGCAGCTTCATTAAATGGAGTACTGAATGTGAATTCCAAACAGGTTATAAGAGCTAGTGAATTGCATGTTAACTGTTGAAAACCTAAGTTTGCTGAACACAGCAATTCAAGACATCATAGTCCTTCATGCTACTAACATACCTTTTGGCCGAAGGAAATCCGTGAACTGTGAAGGGAACAGAGGGAAACTTGGTAAAGCTTGCCATAATCTTCAGCCTTCCTTTTATGGGTAGGGAATGCAAACAAACTCATTCCTTATAGTTCCGCGGTTCAGGTTGTGATCCTTGCTACTGCTCATAACTTAAAATTATACACAATGAAGGAAAATTAGCATCGAAATTTCTTATCAATGTTTATCTATTTATAAAAAATAGCAGCCAAAATCAGTGTAAACGAGGTTCCCTTGTGTCTTATATACGAGTAGAATAAATTACTCTAGAAATCTTTATAATTTAATTAAAATTTGAATTAGGTTCTTATTAGTTAAAGTTTTTAATGGGATATTTTGAAAATTTCTTAAATAAGTTCCTAATGGTTGATGCCATTTACATTACGTAAATGAATGTTTATAGTCATTCACAAGCCATTTTGTGTTGTTGCTACTTGTGTCAGTAACTTAATTATAAAATTTTATAATTTAATAAAAACTAAATTGAAAACTTAGTTAAACTATAATGTATTTATTTATATTTTTTTATGAATGTACGGACTTCATTAAAAATATAGAAGCTATAAGTAATAATTGACAATTCAATAAAACTACAAAAACAGTATAAAATTATTTGACCTTATTTTTAAGCGAATGGATTCATTTACCATCAAAATTTTTTTACCATTCTTACAATTAATTGAATCACCGTTAATTTTTGTTAATCTAACAGTTGTAATTTATTGAGAATTGATAACATTTATTGTGTTACACTTATTAATTAATTATTAATTTTTAATAAATTATAATCGTTAGATTGACAAAAATCAACGGTGATTAAATTGGTTGCAAAAATAGTAAACTTTTTTTGGTGGAAAGTATACCATGTTCCTATTTTTTATACCAAGAAAAAAGAAGAAATGTTTTCTGAAGATGCTGATAATTTCAATGCCTTTGTCAGATATGAGTAAACCAGGAACTGTAAAACAAGCACTATTCCATCACAAACACCACATTTTGCCTTCTCTATTACCATCTTTGCATTAAATAATTATCATTAACAGAGTCTCCTAACTTTATTTTGGTGGTTATCCATAAATTGAGAGAGACACTCCAACAATTTCATTTCCAATGCTTTGCATTCGGCTATCTGCATTTGCAGCTCCAATCTCTCCTTCTTTAGGTTCATGTTCTCCTCCATAAGTAGTTGATGATTATTTTCTTCCATGGAAGTCACTGCATTTTCCTCTGAAGAAGACTTGAGGTATGAAGGAAAGACACTTGGCTCGCACTTTTTCCTCGTGATTTCAACTAGCATATGCTTGCAGCCCCTCTGAAATTTCTCATGCTTGAATTCCCATCTCTTAGATGATATTTTCTTAAATCCCTGTTTTGCAAGTTTGAAAGATCAGAAACGACGAAACAACAAACCAATTATAGTAAGAAATATATAGATCAAAAACATTTTTAACGATAAAATAAAACGCTTCTTATTTTATTTTCATGAAAATACTATATGATAAAAAAAAATTCATATCTCCAAGGATTTTGATTTGATCCTTGATTAATTCAGTTTACACAGTAAAAAATAGCCATTTTTTCTTCCAAATTATTTTCTCCTAGGTGAAGAAGATACAATTCAACCACTTTATATCTCTCTCACAAATATTACAATGTATTGTATAAACATGTGAAAAGTCCTAATATACTTATTGTTGAAGCTTTGTAAAATGTCAAATATGATTTTACAAATGTCTTTAAAAAATAGGATGCGGATAATGTACTACGACTAATCTAGTGGTGAGGGAGTAGATAATAGATGTTGTGTTCGATTCCCAATGTATTAAAAAAAGAAAAAAGATAGGATGCGAATACGTAAGTATCAAATAATTATAAAGATAAAAATACAAGTTTTATTTGATCTCCAAAAGATTGAGAAATTTGGATACATAAGTTATGATTGTTGAATTCTAGCCGTTGAAGTACTTAGTAATAGATTATAAAAGAATGACACATCGAAACATAAAAATATTTCCCCACGGTGTATATGTTGCTATATATACCAAACGGCTGCGATAGTGCTATGTGTACTTTACTTTTTCGAAAGAATTCTCAAAGTCAAAGATAAATTAAGTAGCACGTTATCATTCTCAATAAGCAAGGCTACGTTTATTTTCAATTACGGTGGCTCTCAGTAAAATAATACAGCATGTGTGATACGACTATTTTGACTTTGGGTTAAAATAACTGATTTGACCAAATTCTTGGTTTGATTTTTTTTTTTTTCTTCCAAAAATGGTGGTTCTTCTCAAGCTGAGTTACTCGAGCGTTCCAAGTTTTGAAAGAAGCATAAAGGAAGCAAAAAGAAAAACAATTAACCAAAAAAAACTTGAGAACAACCAAAAAAGCAGAACAAAACTAGAAAACTTCACTAAATTTCACATTAAAACATTCTTTTGAAGGAAAAAAAGGAAATGATGACAGATTTTTTTTATTATTTTTATGTTTTCCTTATATATAGTTTGAATATAGGGATAAGTTATTTACTATTATTTTTTCTGCCTATCTTTGTCTACCATCTTTCAATACCGTCAGATCAGAATCTCAATAGAAGAGAGAAATGAAAAATATAGTTGAGATTCTGATCTAACTGTGTTGAAGGTGATAGACAAAGATAGACAAAAAAAAAAATGGTAGATAAAATAACCTATTCCTTGAATATATATTAAAACTAATTCAAAAAGTTGATATATAATTAACCTTCCAATGGTGGAAAGGAAATCCATTTGTTGTGAACTTTCTAAAGACATGACGAATCTCTATATATAAGGTTTCTCTATATACGAGGATAAGAATGAGGTTAATGGTGTATATTTTTATCCTTATAATTTTGCAAAGAAGCTATCTTTCAGGCTCGAACCTAATCTGTTTATAAATACATGAGAATCTTGTATTTTTGTTAGGGAAAATGACTTACATATGTATTCAATTGGCGAATGAAGCTAGAGAAGTTGTTGTGCTTGAAAAATCTTGGCAAGGTGAGCTCTGAGAATTCAGCAGGAGACCACACAACAAAACCATTTCCTTCTGCATTCCATGACACTATTTTGGTGCTATGATCTTCAGCTTCACCATTCACCTCACTTTCTTCCAACAAATCGTAAGTTTTCAAAAGAAACGGTGCGGGGCATCGTGGCCTTGGAGACTGCCCTAAACCAAGGTTTAGTTCCAACACAGTATCAGCCATGCTTGGTCAAATATATAAGCCTATCTATTCATTTGTGTTGCCCAAACAGGTCTATATTCCATGCACTCTTCATTATATAGTACTAGTATACACCTACCACTTGGTAGCTAGGAAGCTACTAGTGCCGTGGAAGGTAGATTGTTTCCTTTTTGTCTTCTGTTTTCCTTTTCTTTCTTCCCTTTTGTGGATGTCACGCTTGAGAAAAATATTAATATATTGAAGGCATATTCTAGCGATCTATTTTGTTTCTATATATTGATTTGAGAAAGGGATATGATATTTTATAAGGTAATGCTACTCTCATTTTATACGAGAGTAGTTCTCTCATATTACACAAAAAAATCATGTGAGGTCCATTATTAAAGGATAAAAAAAAAAAGTCGGTGAAATTTTTAAAATGAAATAATATGAGATAATTATTTTATATAAAATAAGAGTAACATTTTTCTATTTTATATTAGTCAGAGTTAGGAAGTTTTTTTGACTTTGGCATGTGACAATGACACGTATAGCGCACAATAATTGTTTGTTCTTGGGTTGAAATAAAGGGGTTAGGCCCACAGACCCAAAACAATAAAAAAAGAAAGCAGAAAAAAGTACAGGCGCTGAGTACTTTTATATTAATTGGTGCATAAAACAAAATATTATTCAAAAGTTTGATGTGTCTAATTAAACTGACGCACATGATGCGAAATACTTGATGATCTGATTATAGAGTTGGGTCTGATAATTGAGTATGATACGAGTTGATGATTTGATGAGTTCAAGTGATGTGATCTCATTTGCTACGTTGGATGCTATCAGCGAGATGAGATGTGTCAATGTGTGATTTGGTTAAAGAAGAAAGGAATAGAAACTTGTAAGGCAATCCGACACTCAAGTCAATATTTAATCATGTTTAGACTTTGAATTTCTCTTTTTATAATAGAAGCATAACATGTTAGAAATTTATTTTATGGACAATATTAATTAATTAGTTTTGTATTTAAAATTAATCGAGTTAATGGATATTTCAATATTATTATTGTAACTAGCTCATTGTGATCACATTGAATTGGGCTTCTGGCATCTGTTGTTATTGGGCCTAGTTGGGCAGCAGTGTAGACTTTAGTGTGACCCTGGTTTTCCATGATGGGTGGACCCAGTGGACACATACTCTTTTCTAGGTTATTAGCTAGGTCCCCTCTCTAGCCTATAAATATTGGAGTTAAGCTCCATAAGCCATCATGCTCCCATCGCTGAGGCTGCCTTTATCGAAATAGGTAATAGAGAGGAAGATCTGGCATGTAGTCCTTTCAATCTTTCGACTTTGTGACGATCCAATAAGGTACACACAATCCCAACTTTGATTTCATATTGTTTAAGTATTTTATAATCATATACATGATCCAGGGTAAAATATTTCTATCATTTGGTATCAGAGCCTCTGTATATGATTGTAGAATCTATATTGTTGAATCAAATAAATTGGGGTTTTGTTTTTTATATATATAAAGGTCGAATCTCTATGGATTAATTCATGAATTTTTTTTTATTGAATCAAGAACCTTTAAGGTTTTTATTCAACATGTCAATATCTTTCCATAGATGTATAATATGCATATTTTTATGGAGCATTGAAGGAGAATTCGTATTTGAGAGTTCATTGCTCAAAAGTTCTAAAACTTTTCAAATTGATTGGACAATTTCACCCGAGTTTAATCTATGTTTGGATCGATGTTGATTTTCAGAAATAAAAAAAAAAAAATTTAATTGAAAAGGTTGCTATATTTTTATGTAAGTTGCAGGATTTTGTCGTTGGATTATTTATTTTTTATGTTTTGTCCTATGTGATATATACACTGTTTGATATACTGTACATTAAAAATTATTTAGTACCTTTCGTTTTTCTTTGGATATTCAATATATATGAAAACACCTGGTTGAATGCATTCTATTTGTTGTATCTTTAAATTTTTATGTTACGTTTTGTTTTCTCTCTATGGACTTGAAATAAACCAAGCCAGATATATTTTACATACTAATTATAACTAACCGATTTTCAATAATAATTGTTTAAGTTCTAGACATTGGGTGCATAAATCGTTGTATGCAATTCAATTTCCATGTACAGTTGTACAATGTTATATGCTTTTTTCTTTATCATCGTTTTTCGTGTATTTTGGTATTAGGACTTCTTTCGGTGATTAGTGTACTAGTGTTATGCCAATTTTCATGTACAGTATTATATGCCTTCTTAAAAGATATTTATCATCATCCTTTTTTGCATATTGGTATGAGACTATATATCCAAGCTAGTGTATGCACTTTTTCCTCAAAATTTGCTTCGTGAAACGTGAATACTGAATAGTTACTGTAGATTCACATTTGACTTTGTCTTTAGGCAAATTTTTTGATACAAGTTACTAGAATCGTCTGCTATTGTTGTTCCGTTTTTTTATCAATTCCGAATTTTTTGGTCCCACGATTAGATGTTTGTTTCAAGAAGATATGATCTTATCCTTTGTATATAACAAACCGTATATATAACAATTCCGATTTTTAATGGAGTAAACTAATAATAAATAGAATATAATAAAAATAGGCTATTTATATAACAAACTGTATATATCAATTCCGATTTATAAGGAGATGTAACAATCATCATTTTAGCCTATTTTGATTTGTGCATCCTCATCTAATTATCAATTCCGATTTTTAAGAATATGTAACAATAAAATATATATGGTTGTTTGTTTTGTTTTAGGGATATACTGTTTGTGATATATATATATATATATATTTTGGATATACCATTTGTGATAATATGTATATATATATATAATATTCCTTTAATTGGTATATTATATGATTCGGCCTGTGACTCATATATATATTCTCTCAGTGGCCTATATATTCTTTTTGAGTTTGAGATTTGCTCACGTTGAATAAGTTACGAAATATATAATATCGATCGGTTTTTTTCCCCTGAAAACATTCATCTTTGGTTTTGGCGTATACCAATGTGCATAAACTGCATATATTATTTGAATGGGACACTGTTTATAGTTTGAATTTTTTTCACATATTGATATGTGAATTGGACTTTGAATTTCACTTTTGGTGTTACTAGGCATCTTTAAAAAACTCTGCGTGAATTTTTTGGTTTTTCTCCGTAATTGTTTTTTCGATTTTTAAGTTACTGTTGATTTCGTTGGTGATTTCGTCATTTGTCTTATTATTGTTCTGTTACTTTATTTCCGTGAAGCGTGAAACATGTTTTGTTTCACATTTGGAATTAATCCATGTTACTGATATTTGTGAATATTGTTTCGACATTTCCGTTTAAATTGTGGTTTTTCATATTACCGTTCCGTAGTTTTAGTGATTCACGTTTGGTTACTGTTGGCGTGTTTTTAGAGTCACTATTAGCTATGTTAGCTATTGGCAATTTCAGTATTTTGATAATTAAAATGTTAGTTAGTGTAAATTGATTAATTTTGAATTTATGTTCCAATAGTATTAATGTTATTTGTTTCTATTGGTATTTGTCTTATATTAAATGTTGTGTCATGGCCACAACTGTTAGATATTTTTTCGTGATATTTGTTGCATGATATCAGTTACTTGAAGTAATATTCCGTGGAACATAACCATTAGCATTTTGTTTAGTGGTTTTACTGTTCCGATTTAGTAGATGATGTGAAACCCATGATATTAACTTGTTGAATTGTTGAGGTTGTTTCACGGGAATTTGTTACGATTTGTTACAATATTTTTTTTTCTTGACCGTTACCACAATTTTGTTTTAATCGTCTCATATCTAAAATTTTTTGAAATACAAAAACTGCAATTTACGTTCATCTTCAAATAAAATACATGGTTGAATTAATTTTGCACTTGTATTTTTTTAATGCAATATTTTATTTGCATTTTATTTGAAGATGTTGGATTTTGTTGAAATACGATGCCTTTTTTGGTTTTTTTTTTTTTTTTTACATTTTGGAGCATGACATTTTTATTTATTTATTACAATGTGTAACGAATTTTAGTCATGCCATGCAGCACTATGTAACACCTTATAATTGAATCATGTTAGACTTTTTCATGTGTACAGTACAATCATTAGTGTATGCTATTTTATTTTCGTTATGTAGCGCACAAATGATTTTTTTAAATTTCGGTTTTCATTTTTTGAGTGCATTAAATGGGTCTTTATCACCATTTGAAAACTTTCACTTTTGTGCTGAATTTGATATTTTAAAATCGAAACTTCTTTTGATTGATGTTTTCGTGTTGCTGAGTCAACATTCGATGTTTATATAAAATGGCAAGAATGAAAATTTAGAAAATAACTACATTGTCATTAAAAAATTACAAAAGGCGGTTGAAAATCCTAGATTCCTAGTTGAAAATTTCAATATTGTTATTGAAAGATATTCAAAATATGGTTGCAGTTTTCATCTTTTACTATTTAAATTTTGTTGTTGTTTAGATTCTTTATATTACATAGGCCTCCAATATTGTTACGATTTTGATATATCTAAAAAGATATTTTTGTGCTGGCCTTCAGTATTGTTACGATATTTTTTATTTTTTATGGGAAAAGATTTTTTTTGAGTTCATCTACCACCGATCTAATTAATTTGAGATAAAGATGTAATTGATGTTGATGTTATGAGTGTAAGTTATGGGTATACTATATCATCATACTTTATATTTAGAATCAAACCTTAATTTTGGGGGCTAAGTTCATCTTCTTTGTGGCCTTGATTTGTGCACAGATCTATAAGAATGTATGTTTCATATTTGCAGTTGTTCACATGTTCGTCTATCACTTAAGTAATGTCAAAAATTGTCTTAGAATTTGAATACATTGTAACGATAGGAAAACGATAGAGTTTTAATCTATTCCTATCAAATATTTCTAATATTATAATATTACGCGATACATTCAATGTTAATATACATGTGGTATTATTACTTAAGTTGCTCTCGGTGCACAATTTTAAAGTTGTGTTTGATATTGAATGAGAATTTTTTTTTGGATTATCAAATGCAATAATTTTTAGAAACACATATTGGAAAAGTGTTTCATGTTGTTTGAGCATATTTGGTTCACGAGATATTATTGTTGTTTAATAATTATTATATGTTAATTATCTGCCCAAAGGGGATTTTTAATATATAATAATAAATTACATGAAGATAAATATTATTGATGGGAATATCTAATTGAAAATTATTTATCTGTCCAAAGGGGATAAATTTCTTGAAAATTACATATGATGCATTTATGTTCGAATTAAGGAGATATATAATTTATAAAATTTATCTGCCCAAAGGGGATAAATTTTAGACAATTGTATATAATTTTCTCCGTTGTTAAATCTTCATGTGATGAAAAATAATTATATATTATATACTCTGCCCAAAGGGGAGTCTATGATATTTAATTATTTTTGTTATTGCTCATGATTAATTTATTACATTATGTGTATAATGGTGATAAAGATTAACTTGTGTTAAATTCTATCAATTATGAATTTTATTTTATTTTTGGGTATATTTTGGTGCAAAATGTATTGAAAAATTAGCTCTCATTTGATATTATTGTATAATTTTGTACTCTCAACCTGTGTTGCATGCTGTAATATTTTGTTTATTGGATTGTATGCTTCCGCTTGAACTATTTACATACAAAAAAATTATTGAGGAGTGCTTCTAGTTATTTCATGCAATTTCCTGCCCAAAGGGGTTATTGTGTGTTTTAATTGGAAGCTTAACTGTAATAAAATTATTGGAGGTGCATTGGTCTAGGTGATCTATCTGAAGCCAGTGTATGCTCATTAATTGATTCATCTACATGAAAGTAAGTGGGAGTAAATATATTTTCTTAGTACTTTATGTAGATGACATTTTATTTGCTAGTAATATGTTGATTTATTGAATAAGACAATAGCCTTTTATCTAAAAGTTTTGAAAAGAAAGACCTTAGAGTAGCTTCTTTTGTATATAGAACACGAGTTCTTTAGAATCTTTTGATTCCCTTAATTAGTGGGAGTAATACTCAATGCTTGCTTTTGAATATTTTAGATTTTTTTGATTCCTTTGGTTAGTGGGAGTCATATTCAGTTTGTTTCTTTTCTATGCAAACTGATAATTATTTTGTGATATTTGTTTGAATTTACGTAATTGATGATGATCATCATTATTATTATTTCTCCTGTCGACTAAGAAATATATGTATGGAATAATATCTTTAAGCATGTTGTGAGCTTAAAGGTGATTGGATGTCACAAATTTTGAGATCTCATGTTGTACTGTGACATACTGGCTTATTTAAGCAAAACAATTTCATGTTGTTTAGAAATTGCAGTGATGCGATTTTATATTGTTGAGAAATCGTATAAAGAAGTGCAATTTCATGTTGTTTAGAAATTGTGGTAATGCAATTTCATGTTGTTCAGAAGTTGCATTACAGAGTGTAATTTCATGTTGCTTGGAAATTGCACTAATGTAATTTCATGTTGTTGAGAAATTACATTGAGGACCGATAAGAATTAGTGTGTCACATTGTTGATCACATTTTGGCACTAATTCTTACTACACTATTAGGCCTTGATTCATGAAGATATAATACTCATTGTATGTGAGTATGGAAGGTCATATGCTATGATATTTTCGGTATATTGATCGCCATATTCCTATGAGGAGATTATGTTGGATTGAATTGTGTTGAGATGCTGAAATTGGAATATTGTTTTTCAAAATTGTGGCCACGTAAAATTATTTTTTAGTTATTAACCCGATAGAGTCGTTTTCGAAATAAAATGATTTTCAAAATAATATTAAATTAATTAATATAGCCCAAGTGGGAGAATGTTAGAAATTTATTTTATGGGCAATATTAATTAATTAGTTTTGTATTTAAAATTAATCGAGTTAATGGATATTTCAATATTATTATTGTAACTAGCTCATTGTGATCACATTGAATTGGGCTTCTGGCATCTGTTGTTATTGGGCCTAGTTGGGCAGCAGTGTAGGCTTTAGTGCGATCCTGGTTTTCCATGATGGGTGGACCCAGTGGACACAGACTCTTTTCTAGGTTATTAGCTAGGTCCCCTCTCTAGCCTATAAATATTGGAGTTAAGCTCCATAAGCCATCATGCTCCCATCGCTGAGGCTGCCTTTATCGAAATAGGTGATAGAGAGGAAGATCTGGCATGTAGTCCTTTCAATCTTTCGACTTTGTGACGATCCAATAAGGTACACACAATCCCAACTTTGATTTCATATTGTTTAAGTATTTTATAATCATATACATGATCCAGGGTAAAATATTTCTATCATTAGTGACATAGGTAGGAAAATGTAAAAAAAAGTTGTTTGGTAGGAAAAAAATTTACTGGAAAAATTAGATAACTTTTATGAAATTTATGTTTGGTTGAAGGTAAAATATAGATGAGAAAACAAGTTGGTATTACGAAAACAACCCTGATCTTAATTATTTTTTACGGTATATTTGGTATGACAAAATCTCAAACATACGAAAATCTATGTTTGAGATTTTGTCTTTTTGAGGCCTCTTTTTGCTCATTGTAATTTTAGTTTTCAAGGTATTGTTCATATTTTAACAGTGCACTGCAGAAACAAAAAGCATCCAATTCCATAGTTAAATTAGCCAAAACAATACAATTGAATCGAAAGACTTCAAAGTTAGAATGCTCCAATGACGGAGTCTGCCACCCAAGAAGTCGTGCTACAAGTCTCCTGTGTCTATTTCTGTTACAAAAAGGGATAAGAAGAGAGCAAGAACCGAGGATGCTTTGGCAAGAGAGGTAACTGTTGCTACAAGTTTTCTTTTTGAGAGGGTATAATGGTCTCTAACAATTTCTCTACACAGTCATTTAGCTGGTTTTCACACAAAAACCACCTTCAACAAATCTTTTTCAACAGTGACAAAACCTATCATTCCACCAGCAAATGGACAAAGCAATGCAAATAGGATAGCTGAGTATTTAGATTGAATCTATTCAACCAAATAAGTCATTTTTGGATTCCTTCCTTCATTTGCATAGGAAACTTTGAAAACCCTCTCAACCAAACACCACGTAAGAGGGATTAAAGTTTCTCCGCTAAAATCCCAAAATGATTTCGTGAATTTCGAAAAAAATATTAGATATTTTTGTAAAATTATATGATATCAAATAAAATAATTTAAAATTTTTAAAGTTATTTTAGATAAATACATACAAAAAAAAATATGTGATGTTCATATGAATTAGAGGTGGCAAAATGGGTTGATCTGTCCCGCTCCCAACCCGTCAAAAATGGGTTGGTCCGTACCGTCCCGTATTTTAATATGGGTTGAAAATTTCAATCCATCCCGTTTTGTGGTAGGTTGGCGGGTATACCCGTCATAAATATATAAAAAAAATTAAAGTTATAAATAATTATATTTTATTAATTTTATAATATTTCTTATTTTCATTTTACAATCTCTTTAGTATTTTCCAATCTGAAACCTAAATGTATACGAATATTCAGTCAAATATTTTTTAGGAACTTATTTTTGCCTTAATATATGGATAACCTTTGTAAAGTAAAGTTTTTTTTCCTTATTTTTTCTAGGGAAGTACTATGATAATTTTTTTTTCATATCACAAAGGCTTAGTGACAAATAAAATACTACCCATTAATAAATTTAAAAAAAAATTGACCCGCAGGCCAATCCGCCCCGACCCATCACCAACCCATTTTGACCCACAACTAAGCGGGACGGGTTGAGATGGGTTGGTGGGTTGAAAAGTATAACCCAACTCGCCCCGTTTTGACGGGTTGACGGATTGATCCGTCGGGTTCAATCCAAATTATCACCTCTAATATGAACTTATGTGAAAAAGAAAAAGAAAAAAAGAAAACATAATTTCACACACTTCTTTGAAATTAAAATATGATCGTTTTACTTAAAAGACAAAAATATTTCCTGACAAACACTTTTCCTTGTGATATTATATGTAAAATAAAATTCATATAAAAACGTAAATTTCAAATTAAAATAAAGAAATTAGAATAAAGTCATTAGTATTTTATATATTAACATTAGCAATTATAAATATAATAAAATATTATTATTTATCTAATTATTACCACTTGTACATAAATTTATTAAAAAATTAAGGAAAAAAAGTTTAAAAATTTTAAAGATATTCACAGAGTATCTAGCATGATAGATGTCTAACATGGTCCGGCAAATATTTTTAATTGTCGGCAATTGAGAACCAGAGAAAAAGTATACTCAAATTTTTATTTATTTATTTATCCAGTATATTGAAAGTTAAACGCATTACACATTACTATACTTATTTTTGGGTTTCTGCAAATTTATCAACATTTTTTTTTTTTGCACAAAACATCGACGGAAATTGTTATGGTACTAACATTCCCCCCCTAAAAAACTAAAACTGTCAATAAAATGCCTGGGAAATTATTTTCATGACTTTTTTCCTCTTGTCATTATCTTATCTCTTGTGAAATTCCCAGCCTATTTCAGTCTCTTATTATACAAAATTTCAATCCTAAAATATGTCATTAAAAGGGAATTAAAATAACTTCAATGAAAAATTTTCATGTCTATTTCTTTTTTAATAAACATTAAATAGATAAAGTCTTATCAAAATTTATGAAGAAAATGGTAAACACAATATTTTCACAATTAAACTAGATATAATTTGAATCAGGTCTTATTACCCCGCAGATAATTTTCAAGGATGCTGTAGAAGTTGTTTAACTGAAGGAAGACAAGTTACATGAAACATTTTTATTTTAGAGTAGGGGTTTGCATTTGTCATTTATTAACATGACACAACAAATTTTCTTACGCACAATATTTTGTGGAGCCCACACTTTTTGAAAAATTAAAATAAAATTATCGCACGCAAAACGAATCATCTGTAACATTACAGAATCACTTTTCCTACAACAAAGATAACTCTTACAGCCCCTTTAGACTATCACAGAAAAAGAGAAAATATCCTTCTTATGTATGTTGAGGTGATTTTACATAATAAACTCTCTTTCAACGAAAGCATCTCTTCAGTTGCTTTTGGAGCTTTATTTTGCAGGTATTTAGTTCCAAGAGTTGCGACTTCATCATTTCAACATCTTTTCTCATCATCTTTATCTCCTGGGAATTTATCTGTCTTTTTTCGAAATCTTTGCTTACTCTGATAGTTGTCTGAGTTTTTGTCCTTTGGTAATTTGATCCATTACTTTTCATTGACGACCCTGCCATGTTCACTTGTTCTAGAAGGACAAATCGTGTTGTTAATTTCAACGGCAACCTATCATTCTTCATCACATGTTGACGTGCTTCTTGTGACAATCTATGGTATTCCAGGACCCTACACACATCTGCTCGATCTTCTTCTGTCAAATTTGGATGTGCCTGAAAAAATTATTTCTCGGTGTTCAACAACCATCTAATCATAGATACAAATATAAAAACAAGATGAACCTTTCTATCCAACTAATTAAAGTTAATTAAATATTCATGTAAAGAATTAAATAAACCCAAAATCTTACACTGAAGGCTTGATACCATGTAAAAAATTATTTTAACCCAAAAATTTAAATTGGTGGGTAAGATTACATTAATGGTTTTTATATCTCTAACACGTCCCTATACCCAGGCTTAAAGGGTGGACAATGCACAGAACCACATACATGTGCTAAGAAATTTCATAAGAGAAAGTGGGGAGCGGTGATGATCGAACCTCTATGACACGAGGCTGTAATAATACCATGTAAAGAATCAATTCAACCCAAAACCTTAAGGTGTGGGGTAAAAGTCTTTTGAATGATTTATATATTCTGTAACAATCCACATTCCACATTCCACATTCCACATTCCACACAGATATAGCTCTATCTAGAGCTAGTGATTTAGAAATGACATATTATCACTAATTTACCTTGAGGTACATGTCAATGGCTCTATAGAGGTTGTCATCACAGTTTCTGGCATTTTGTGGCAATGCTTCAACAAGTGATTTGAAACTTTCCGCTGTGAGATTTTCATCCCTTGCAACTTGTGTGAGATACCCGTCCACCAGCCTTCCAACAGTGTTGAGTTTTGCTTCAGGATTACTTGACATGCTGCAAACATAAGATTGTAAAACCCTAACAACAACATCTACATGATACAAAGAATCTTTATCTCCTTGATTTTTGACCAAGAGATCTGGGACAAGGCATTGCTCCAAGATTAAAGCTACCCTTCCTTCTAGCACACACAACAACTCAGGATTTATTTTCAGCATCACACCTGCCTTTAGTAGGTGAAGCAAAAAATTGCAAGTGACTGAATTTTCTTCAGCAGGAAGTATTCTAATCAAGCATTCAGTTGAAACTCTATGTAACTGGAGAGTTATGTGTTTAGGAGTCACTTTGTCAAGTCCAAGTGTGACTTGGGAAAACCATTTTGTAGTCCAATGTGCTATACAAAAACCTACAAGTTCTGGTTTGATTCCAAATCTTTTAATAGACTGAATCACTTCAATAAAATGATCTATACGTAGAAGTGATACATCTTCGAACCACCAAGTATCAACTATGTTTTCAATCTCTGCATTTGGATTTGTACATGCCTTCCAAGCTATTGCTTCTGTGCAGCGTTTCACTATTTGTAATTCCTTGGCCCAAGGGGAAATGGATTCACTGCTTTTAAGTATTTGAAGTGTGCTTTTCCATGAAGACAATATCAGAAAGCTCAGAAAAGATTCTGTCTTGGAAATGAGATTTGCTTCTTCAAGATCTTCACTCATTTCCAAGAAATGTGAAGCACAATATAATGGGGCAACGTTGGCTGCGGTTATATCAATTTTCCATCCATAGCAGAATTTGACTACTAATTCGAAAGTTTTTGTACCACCAGGAAGATTATTTATTTGGATATTGAGGCTATTATCACCTCCACTTTCTCTGTTGCTTCCCCTCTGAAAGACAAGCCTATTCAAATATTCGCTTCTTGAGGCCATGACAAGCTGGAAATCAACAAAATTATTTGCAATTAAAATTTCAAGATTATTAAATGTAACTATTTTAATACAGTTTTAATTTTTATATTTTTTTTGTGCATAGTGAGGGGGTCGTTATCTTGGCAAAAAGTACATTTATTTATCCAAAGAATTAAAGGAGTGATTGATCCACCTTGTGCAAGTGAAAGCTGGAATCACCAACTTGTATGATTAAATCAGTAGCTGAATTTGCCCTAGCAATCCTGCATTAAATAAATGGGACAAATCAGATGCAGAAGGCCAATAGGCTCCAAAAACTGCAGAAAATTATTCACAGTAAAAATGATTGTATTGAAATGCAAAATATTAATAAAATGTTTATTTTAACAAGTTGGGTATATCTGGTGTCAAATCACAGGGTATAAAATTTTGTCCAGTCATCCCCTTATAACTATATAAAGAGTACATAATCATAATATTAAAGTTATTTTTTTCTCACTCCTCATGTCAGCTAACAAATTTATGAAAAATTTATGAAAAGAGAGGAAAGAAAAATACTATGAGAAATACATAGTTATAAAGCGGTTACAAGGACAAAACCTTGTATCCAGAAAAACAATAAACCCTAATAAGTTTCAACAGTGAAATTTAAAGCAGCACCCTCTGCAGAGGATCTTAATGCATAGAATGCTGATGCAAGAACTATATATATATAGATGTTTACCAGTTTTGGTTTCTTTGTTCTAAGGAATCAGCAGCCAAAGGAACATTGGCTGGTAAAATGATACATCGGTAACGCTTCCCTCCATCTAGTGTTCCCCCCAAGGGACTTTCACAGTTAAGACTTTTCCTTCCCATAGCAGTCTTATCAAGCTCTGAAAACTGAACTGTGTTCTTCATCTTCCCTTGAAGAGCTTGTGATGGATATTATTTAATTTTAGATACAAATGTAAGAGCTTCAGTATGGACTGTGGATGATATATAGACAAATATTGTACTTACTTTTAGGCTACTAGATGGTGACATCCTTCCTTACTTTTCTCATGCTGTGGTCCTCCTGATTGTGCATGGATAATTGCGGTGTTTATGATGACATTAAAGAGGGTTTGTTGCCTTTTGCCATCTCCTGTCACTGTAACCATTAGAAAGGAGAATTTGAGACTAGATAGGATTGGAGGATACACCCTAGCAGATAATCAACATTTTATAATCTTATCCACTCATTGAGAAATACAAAGCCACCCTTCCCCATCCCGCGTCACATTCATCAATTAAGAGTGTGCTTACATGTTGTATCAAAGTAGTAACACGTCTCAATTTACTAACCAAAACCGATTCTAGCCTCATGATTGTATATGGTCAAGAAAACTTTGTTTTAGCAACCTATATTCCTTTGTTTTTCTTTTGGCCATTATTTGCTAAAGGTCTAAATGTCTTCTGGCTTTTTGGATTGTGAAAAAGACAAGGCAATAACACCAGAGGGAGAAAATTTCAACCAGAGAACAAGAGGAGGGAACATCTTGAAAACAGCTCGCTCATTCTAACCCCGAATGAGTCAACAAGTAATACGACTAGGATTATTTACCAATTTTCTAAGTTGTGGAGATGCATAAGTTTATTCAATGCGTATATAATATGACTAGGTTATATTTACAAATTTTTTGTTTACAAACTACACTATATCTGACCGGTCATATTTCAATCAAGAATGTATGACCGGTCAGACTTAACGTAATTTATATAAAAAAAAAGTATTAACGGATCATTCCTCTACAACCAATAGCAAGAGGAGAGCAAAGTTGTAAGTTACTATATTAAAAGTGCAATGCATGGTTGAATTTTAAATATATCTTTTGTTATTTTTCTTATAATAATTTTTTTTCTAAATTAATATACCCATGATAATAATAGTTATAAATAAATATAGATAAATTTTTAAAATTATGATAATGTAAGTGTGCTTTTTTCTGTCAATAGTTTTTATTCGAAATAGTAAGAAGCAACATGTATGTGTATTTTTTTTTAAAAAAATGAACATATATATTTTTATATTTAAATTTAATTCATACAATTTGTTATTGAGATATTTTTTTTTATTTTTTCATAAAACATTAGTTCTTATATTTTTTATTTATTAATGTACTAGCTCTTGAGAAATGAATAAATGAGTAAAAATATAAGAATAGAAACTAAAAAAAATATGAATTAAAATTCAAATATATGTGTTAAAGAGCTAACTCCACCATGATTGTAGATATTTCTCACTCAAATAAGATTGTCTCTCGTGAAGGATGCATGTTATTTATCTACACAAAAAAATATTTATGGGTCTTCACTTCTTAACTTAAACTTTTTGGATGAAATGATTTTTTACATCGTATCAGAGTCGATATGACTAAGTGGTCATGAGTTTGATCATCACCACTAGGTAAGTTGTGTCAAAGCATCATTCACTCTTTGAGCCCAATAAACTCTCATGTGAGAGAGTATGTTAGAGAAACATAAAAATATTAATGTAATCTAACTCAAGATCTTAAGCTAATAGGTGAGACAGTTGCTTAATATGGTTGATATGTGTTAGAAAATTATAATATAAAAATCATTCATGGACTTTCACTGCTTAACTTAAACAATGGGTTAAAATAGTTGTTTACAATATGCAAAATGAAAAATAATTTATGTGTTGTTAGAGAAACTATTCCCCCCATCTTGCACATAAATCAAAATTTGAGCCCGTTTTTTTTTAAAAAAGAAAAATAGTAGGGCCCATATTTGATTGTATATGCAAGAAACATTCACTACTAAAAAAAGCTCTATTATCGACGGAATTTATCAACGAAAAATATTCCGTCAAAAATAGTAACGGAATTTTTGACGAAAATTCAATTCCGTTGGAAATAGAGACGGAAAAAAAATCCGTTGAATTTTGAGACGGAAATTTTCAATGGAAAATAAATTCCGTCAAAAATTTTAACGGAAATTAAATTCCGTTGAAATTTTCTGTCAAAAATTTATCACATAATTACTTTTAATCAAAAAATAGCGACGGACAACAAATTCTGTTGATAATTACAACGGAATAATATTCCGTTTAAAATTTCAACGGAAAATTTCTGTTGAAAATTGCAACGGCATAGTTTTCCGTTGAAAATTGCAACGGAATTTTGGTCTTTTTCCATCGAAAATTTCAACAGAGTTTTTTTCCGTTGATAATTTTCAAGTCATCACAACCGTTATCAAAAACCCTAAATTTCTTTTAGGCAATTATGCCGTCATTTATAATTGTTTATGGTGTTGTGCATATATATTGAAACATTTACATGAGAATGCAAGTAGTGACTATCCACGTCTGGAAGTGTTAAAGAAGTGGGTGAAGTTATAAGTATACTAAAATGATGCTCGGATGTACTCACATGATAAAGGATGTGAAACTACGTAAACATTTTGCTAACAAATCTCTGTAATCTTTATTATACTCAGATCAATATCATATATGTTGATAATTGCATATCACTCATGTTGTGTTTGTTTTCGTTGATTGCATTTTTTATATTGTTTAAGTTTACTATTGATGGCTTCCAGCAGGTCTGCGCTTAGGAGGTTTTGTCCCTCATCTTGCAATGGTGTGTGTGCAATTTATACGATTAATTCTTTCAAGGCTTATTTCAATAAAGATTAAAGAGATTTGTTAGCAACATATTTACGTATTTTCATATCCATTATCATTTGAGTACATCTTAGTATCATTTTTGTATACTCATAACTTCACCCACTACTTCAACACTTATAGTTGTGGATAGTCATGACTACTTGCATTCTCATGTGAATGTTTCAATATGTATGCACAATACCATAAACAATTATGAATGATAGCATTCTTGCACAAAAGAAATTTAATCAAAATTTCTTTTCATAATGCTTGTGATTACATGAAGAGCAAAATGAAGAAGTAAAATTCAGTCAAAATTACTTTATGGAAAAAAAAAGTCCATTGAAATTTTCAACGGAAAATAATTCCGTTGAAATTTTTGACGGAAAAAGTCCAAAATTCCGTTGGAATTTTCAACGGAAAATTATTCCATTGCAATTTTCGACGGAAAAAGTCCAAAATTCCGTTGGAATTTTCAACCGAAAATTATTCCGTTGCAATTTTAAACGAAAATAATTCCGTTGAAATTTTCGACGGAAAAGGTCCGAAATTCCGTTGGAATTGTCAACGGAAAATAATTCCGTTGCAATTTTCGACGGAAAAAGTCCAAAATTCCGTTGGAATTTTCAACGGAAAATTATTCCGTTGCAATTTTCAACGGAAATAATTTCGTTGTAATTTTTTACGGAAAAAATTTCGTTGCAATATTCGATGAAAAAAACCAAAAGCCTTTGAAATTTTCAACACTAATAAGTTATTGTCTCTCACGAGTCATTTAGGAATACACTTTGCAAAACTGTCATAAATTCGTAATTTTTTATTGAAAAAACAATAAATTAATTTTTTTCCACTTAATCATCAAAAGAAGTTCGGAGCTTTCTTATTTCAAATTTAATCTAAAAAACCATAGTAAATAGTAACGTATAAAGGGAATTCTATACATTAGAAATATATTTTGCATAAAAATATTTTATTACCTAATTGCAATTATCTCTATACACTTTCTAACTTTATATATTTTATTATCTAATTGAAATTTAATTTATATATTTTTAATTAATAATAATACAAATAAACAAAAGAAAATCACTTTTGGGCTTAGGCCCGTTTCCTTGACGGGTTCGGGTGACCCGAACTTTCCTCTTCTAAACTCCCAATTACTCTAAAACCCTAGACTCACCAGTAGAAGAAGAAGCCGTTATTATTCTTCTTCTTATTATCATTATGAGCACTGACAACCTCGTATGCACGGACACACAATTTTTTTAAAAATTTGCGTGTCGGACACATGTCCGACACGTGGTCAACATTTGGGGACACGCGGTCAACTCTCTGACACGTTCCGACACGCGGTCAATATTTGGGGACACGCAGTCAACATTTGGAGACACGAAAAATTATTTATATTTATATTTATGTTATGAAATTTAAATATTTGATTGGTTATATGACTTATTATACTCTTATATGTATTAAACATAAAAACGTGTCCCAACGTGTCGAAATATCACATTTTTTAGAATTAACATGTCGGTGTGTCGTGTCGTGTCCCGTGTCCGTGTCCGTGCATCATAGTTGACAACTTCTATTTTTGCAAGGATTCCATTCATATCTCATTCATCTTAGGATTAACGGTTTGCCATATTTAATCATCTAATTGGCAACTCATTATTAACATCAACAATTACATAGTAAATGACTTATTCCTAATAGTATAATTAATTACTGCTATTTACATTTGAAATGAAGTTTAATTTTAAAATAGGAAATTTAATTTACAAAAATTTAAAACTAATTTAAAGGATATATACGAATTTGTTTGATTGGATATCAAATTAAAAAAATTATTTTTTATAATATCTAAATATTTCCTTAAAAAAATATAATTTCATAATTTAATTTTAAATATTGAAATTTGAAACCTTTCAAATTGAAAAAGAGAAATACTTTTTAAAGGAAAAATCAAATGCATTAAAATCAAATTTGAAACCTAATGAGTTTCCCCTTTTCCCACTTCCCTCCCAAAGTTTCCCACTTCCCTCCCAAATACTCAGGGTCTCCGTTTGTTTGCTTTGAAAATCTTTTAGGCCCACAAAATCAAACTATGAAGTTTTTTTTAAAATAGTAAAAAGATGGAATGAGGAAGGGTTTAGGGCAAAGAAGAAATAGTTTGGTTTGCTCAGATCTCAAAGCAGAGACGAAAGAAGAATGAATGGAAGACGATGAG